GGGGCCAGATGTCACAGAGGGTGGGCTTTGATTGGTTTCCTATTTTAATAGATCCAGTTTCTTTTCTGCAGATTCCCTGATAGTTTGCTTTATTTTCTTGCACATTGTTCTTCGTGAAAGCTAAGAGCCCTCATGTTTGGTGGTTGCACGGCTCAGTCTCACTTCTGCTTAGTCCACTCTGAGAATTCTTTTCATGGTGCGGTTGGTCTGCCTTCGCTTAGCTGGAGCCTGGATGCTGACGAGTGAGTACCTTCCGTTTCACTGTTGCTTGTTGTTCACATTTATTCCCAAGTTGATCCTTGGAAAGCTCCACCTAACCTTTTTTCAAACTTTGCCCAAGTTGTGCGTGAGATGGGGAAATTTAGGAGAACTTTGATTTCTGAGGGAAAAAAAAATGAGCTGTGACGGGATGCCAGGAAGCAGCGTGGAAGGCGAGTGAACTTACCGCTCCCCTGCGGAGCCCTTCACCTGTGGGTTTCGGGGTGCAGGGTCGTCGCGCGGGGTGAGCTCCTGTCTTGAGGTGAGGCTGTGCATGAGCAACAGTGGGGGTGGGGCTGCTTTCCAGCTGAGGTTTGTTCTCCTCTGGGGGTCTTGGCCTGGCTTCCCTGGCCTGCCGTCTTCCTTTGTGGTCTTCCTCTTGTTTTCAAACAGAATTTCTTCCCTCCTTGGTTTACTAAGGACAGAAAACTGTCCAGATGTTCCCCAGTTTGATTGTTTCTGAAACAAGTATTTGATTCTTGGCAGTTTTTAAAAGTATTTACTGACACCAAAAAGTGGAAAAACACACAGCTCATCAAGACGAATAAGGAGATTTCTGAGTCGCAGCGGTTCTCAGCGGCTTCTAGGTGGAACGCGCCGCGGTGGCTCCGAATGTGAGCGGTGCTGGCGGCCTCCTGGCTGCAGACAGCTCTGCGCTCCCTGGGCCCTGCGCATCCTGACTCCTCTCTGCTTCCTCTGGCCCTGCCGCTTCTCTTACTTCCTTCTGTTCGCTCCGTTCTGTTTAGGTTCCTTTTTCTCCTCTTTGTTTGCTTATACATTTTTATTTTACCTCTTCATTTTGTTTGAAAGGCAGAGACAGAGCTTCCATCTGCTGGTTCACTCTCAAATGCCTGCACCAGCCGGTGCTAGGCCAAGCCCAGAGCCAGGAACTCCATCTGGGTCTCCCGTGTAGACAGCAGGGATCCATCTTTTGATCTGTTGAATCATCACCCGCTGCTCCCAGGGTACTGGGAGGGGAGCCGGGACCCAACTCGGGCACTCCCCTGTGGGATGCGGGAGGCCGAAGTGGTGAGAAGTACCTAGGCCTTTACCAGAAGCAAGGCATGGTGGTTTAGAGGATCATTTGTTTGCCTTTGTTCAGCAGACAGTTCAGCTCAAGCTGGCTTGGACAGTAGGGGTTTACTTATTGGCTCATGTCGTTGGAAAGTCTAGTGTGAGTCTGGGTTTTAGGTAGGGCCCACTTCCTTTACTTCTGCTGTCTGCAGCGCTGCTTTTATCCTAAGGCCAGGCCTTTGGGTGGGTGTAGGGTCATTTCAGCAGCAGGTCGGCTTGATAATTTCCTTAGCTATGTTCAGAGGGAAGCAGAGTTTCTTCTCTCAGCCATCAATGAAAGTGCTAAACTTTGCTGTTGGGTTAGCATGAACCAGTTCCCTTTGCTAATGGGGGTTGTGTGCCCACGGGCTACTCTGGGTGACTGGCAGATGGCAGACAGTAAGCTCAGAAACTGGAGCCTTAGTGGCTTCAGTGAGCTGCTCTGGACTGAGACCCAGCAAGCTTGGACGAGCGCAGTGTGGACATTAGAGACAGCAGATTCAGCCGGCATCGGGCCCCCCTGAGAACATAAAGGAGGGAAGCAGTCGTCTGTGGTTGAGCAGGAAGATTTTTGCTGCAAGAATACAAACAGGACAGACTGTGTACGTCACCGTCTTGCCCGCTTGCTGTGTTGGTTGTACACACTGTGCACCTGCATATACACTCTGCAGATGAGCTTCTTCCACCATGGCCTTTTCTCCCTAGGACTCACTGTATAACGCCCAGGAAGAAAGATCCTTTTCTTACCACAGTGCAGTGGTTAAGCAGGGAGTTTAATCAGCAATTTAAAACATAGCCTGCGGGCCGGCGCCGTGGCTCACTAGGCTAATCCTCCACCTAGCAGCGCCGGCACACTGGGTTCTAGTCCTGGTCAGGGCGCCAGATTCTGTCCCGGTTGCCCCTCTTCCAGGCCAGCTCTCTGCTGTGGCCCAGGAAGGCAGTGGAGGATGGCCCAAGTGCTTGGGCCCTGCACCCCATGGGAGACCAGGAGAAGCACCTGGCTCCTGCCTTCGGATCAGCGCGGTGTGCCGGCCGCAGTGTACCAGTCGTGGCGGCCATTGGAGGGTGAACCAACGGCAAAGGAAGACCTTTCTCTCTGTCTCTCTCTCTCACTATCCACTCTGCCTGTCAAAAAACAAACAAACAAACAAAACACATAGCCTGCGTAAGCAGATTCATACAGGCAGAGGGTGGCGTGGTGGTTACTGGGGGCAGGGGGAGGGGAGGGGGAGCTGTTGGTCAGGGGCTCCGCCCCTGCTGTTTGTAGATGAGTAAGTTCTAGATCTAATGTGCAGCATGAGGCCTTAAAGGTGGTACTATATTGTACACTTGTGTTTAGTGCTGAGAGTAATCTCAAGTGTTCTCACCACACTGAGAACAGGTAAGGAGTTGGCTATGTGAATGACTTGACCATGACCATCAGGTCACGATGTATGTGGCAGGCAGCATGCTGTGTGCCTTCACAGAGCCAGTTTCAGTTTAAAAGCGTGTCCTTTGTTCTCGTCTCTTACAGAGTCACGCCTGAGATCAGGAATTGCATTTAGTTGTTGGGTTTCTTTGTAGCCTTCTTTAATCTGGAAATTTCAGTTTTTCTCTGTGTTTTATGATATTGACATTTTGAAAGAATGTAGTCCCCTCCTCCCCTTTCAGAATTAAAGTGTTGCTCTCATTTTTAGACTTTTCTGGAGCTGCTAGTTATTACTTTGATTATCCACACGAAAGGAGATGACAGATGGGGAGCACGGTGCTGCTGGTGCCTAGTGTGTCTGGCTTCTGGAGGTGGGGAGCAGGTTTGTACATCACTGCCTGCTTGCTCCTTCTGCCCACCACCAGGGTTAGGCTTGTTCCCCGATGCCTCCCAGCAGGTGGTGAAACATGAGGGCTAGGGCTGAGGGTGAATAGTCCTGCGTAGCAAGCAGCTTGCCGTCGTGTGGAAGTATGGTGGCACCGTGAGAATGGTAGCCAGTGCCAGTGCCTGCAGATCTTAGCGGGAGGCCCTCGGACAGGAAGCTAAGTGAAATACATCTCCACGTGGGCTTCGCGGCAACTCTGTTGAGAAAATTCTGAAGTCCTGAGTAACCAGGAAGGGTGATGTTGGGGTGGGGAAGGGAATGGCCGTTGGGGCCTTGATCCCGAACAGAGCGAACAGGTAATTTCTCAGGAGGAGCACTCTGATCCAGGCTCTCTTTGATCCAGGGAGAACCGTGGCTTGATGGTTTCTGCTGTTGCGCCTTGCTGGCGGCTTTCCTCCAAGAAGGTGGGTGTGAAGGCCGTGTGCTCTGCTCCATGCCTCTGCGCTGAGGCCCCCGGCCCCTGCAGCAGTGTGGCCTGCACCGTGCACTGGAGGTAGCACTACAGGTGGGACTCCTGTTGGCTCAAGTCCTCTCTGCAGCCAGAATTGGGTTTTGTCCAAACTGTGCACAAAGCAGACCACACTGGAGACTTCCTGCTGGGTAGAGACGGCCGTGGTTCCGCGCACGTTAGGAGATGAGCTGAGTCTGCAGTTCAGAGGGGATGGAGTGGACACTTAAATGCTACGAGGGACGAGCACCTCTGCCAACGGTGGGCTTGGATTCACTGACCCTCTGCAGGCTGGGAACTGGAGCAAGACTTATTTTACGTAGTTGAACTTATCTGTGGGAAAACCTTTATTGAAGTACAGGAGAGTGCTAGGAAGCCATGAAAAAACTGTTATGGAACTCTGTGCTTTGTTTTATCTAGATACATGTTGAAATAGTTGGTGACCTATACAATTGTGATCAGTTGTCAACTGAGAAAAACAGCTGTGTTCCTGGTATTTTATCTTTTTTTTTGGTAATTGTTCATGATCTTTTACTGAAATGAGATAATTTTGGCTGGCATTTGAATTTTTCTTAGGGTACAAGCACAGTGCTAAATACCTCCCACACATTGTGTCATTAAGTATCAATAAGAACGTCGGAATTCGCGAAGATCATTTGAGATAGACTTATGTATATACTTATATATTTTATATAGAGATGGAGCATCATTAATCGGAAAATCCAGAATTCAGGTTGAACATCTGAAATGTTCCAGAATCCAGAGCTTTTTGAGCATCTCAACGCATTGTAGACTTGGGAACATTTTGAATTTCTGATTTTTAAGTTAGAGGCAGTGAACTGATAAAGTCTAAGCAAATATCCCCAAATCCTCAACACTCCAAAACCTGGAGCACTTCTGGTCCCAGTCGTTTCACATTGACTGTCAGGGATATGCAGCCTGTGCACACATATATTAACAGGGTCCCATACTGTGCGTATTTCCTTTTAAAGGTATATTACGGGCACTGTTCTATGTGAGTACATGTATAGGTATTCTATTCTTAATGGATTCAAAGTATTCCGCTGTGTAGCTAAACTACACAGTGTTTAGCTTGTTTTTTGATTAACAGATGTGTAGTTATTTCTTGTTTTTAAGTGGCAGTATAGCAACAAATACTGCTGTACTTAATTTCTGTACACTTGTGTTCCTAGGTGTGGAGCTGCCGCATCAGGTAAAGAAGGCTTGGCTTTGACCCTGATCCTCCTAGACCCAGGCAAAGCTAAAAGGACTGTAGGAAGAGTCTGGAAAGGCCCCGGGCATGATGCTCTGAGGTTCCTCTGGTTTCCTGCTTTCTTTTGTTTTACCCCTGCATGGTTGTGTAATGGTATTCTTTTTCCTTTTTGTAGTCAGCTGTGCTAGAACAAAAATGCAATGAAAGAAACACTGGATGAATGAAAAGCCCTGCTTTGCAACCCCTCAGCATGGCAGGCCTGCAGCTCATGACCCCTGCTTCCTCACCAATGGGTCCTTTCTTTGGACTACCATGGCAACAAGAAGCAATTCATGATAACATTTATACGCCAAGAAAATATCAGGTACTAATGAGAACACTAATACTGGAGCATTTTTCACTAAAATGGAATAAATTAGCATATAGTTGACATAACTTATAAAACTCATTTACCCTGTCCAGCCTCCTCCTTCTGATTAATTTTCTCAATCAGCAAGACTTTGTTCTTGATAGTCCTTTTCTCTTCTAACATCTGCCGGGTAGTTGATTTGAGAGTCCTAGTTGTGAAGTCCCATATTTTTTTTCCTTCCTCTGAAAACCTTGATATTCCTTAATATCCATGTGAGTGTGCTTGTCCTAAAGAGCTGGGTAGGAATTGAGATTGGCTCAAAAATGCTCAACCATGAGCTGGCAGAACCTTGGTTACTGTGACTGTAGTCGTTCATGGTATTCTGGAGAAGTCTTTGCAAAATAACTCTCACACAGACATTTAAATGCCACCTCAATGTGCATTTACAGCATAGCTGTATGTAATTGGTGTTTTTTCCTCTTATTCTTATAGAAAGATGTGGACAGTGTGGTGTTTTTTGATCTTGTGTTTGGCAGATTTATTGGAGGAAAATTTTAAGAAACAGTGAAATTCCCCGATTTAAAAACGAAATCCAGTTTTCTAAATTTTGTCCACAGGTGAGAAGTGTGTAATCTTTCTTTCCGCTGCATTTCCAGGTTGAACTGCTCGAAGCAGCTCTGGATCGTAACACCATCGTGTGTTTAAACACTGGCTCAGGGAAGACGTTCATTGCAGTGCTACTCACTAAAGAGTTGTCCTATCAGATCAGGGGGGACTTCCACAGAGATGGAAAGAGGACGGTGTTCTTGGTCAACTCTGGTAAGAAAAGCCCATCTTATCAAGTTGGACGAGGGTTCGTGTGTGAGCGTTATGTTTAGTATCTCTGGGTGCTGAGCTGAATTTTGGAAGTGAAGAGAGCTTGCAGAGGTGCTTGCGGAGGCCATGCCAGCAGGAATTCTGTTTTGTCTTACTTGTCACTGAAATGTCCTCACACTGTATTTCTGGTGAGTGCTCACTCTTGGATCATGCTCTCATCTGTCACCGTTATTTTTGTTTTTGACACTTTAACATCCCAGAGTATGTCATAAGATGCTTGGTTAGGAGATGGGAAACTTCTAGATTTAAGTCTTTTGTTGTAACACCTGTGGAGAGCAAGTTATAATTGTTGCATGTCTGGGATTACATGTCAAATCAGAAAGGGGAACTGTGAGCTCACTGATGGCGTCCTGAGAGAACCGTGTCACCGTCCTGTGTCAGACGGTCTCGGCGTGGCTGCGTACTCTCTATGAGACGCTCTTCTTTCTTGGTGACGTGGCCTGGTTCTAGCGACGCGAGCTGGGGAGCTGGGCCTGGAGGCCGCTGCATTCCATCGAGGAGGGACAGCCCGAGGAGAGGGAGCGGGGGCAGGGTTCTCTGGGGCAGTGACAGCAGGCGAGGTGGTGAGACGCTAAGAGCTTTTTGGATTATAACCTTGAAACTGTGATTTTTAATTGGCTATTTAAAAGCGTGGTGGTCAGGTAGAGTATGCACTGATAGAGTTTCGGTGAGTGTCTCACTCATTAGTAGCACAGAGAGGTACTGAGATCAGGTGTCTCATACTGACGTGGAGCATTATATTTGTGCACAGCAAACCAGGTTGCTCAGCAAGTGTCAGCCGTCAGAACTCATTCAGATCTCAAGGTCGGGGAGTACTCAGACCCAGAAGTGAACGCGTCCTGGACAAAAGAGAGATGGAACCAAGAGTTTGCTAAGCACCAGGTAAGGCTTGCAGAGACATCTCACTTTATAAATCCTACAAGTCCTTGATCTGTCTGTCTGAGAGGATGACCACCAAAAAATTACTAATCTGTGTTGCTTTTACCTTGTAGAAAAGACACCTGTCAGTGGGATTTACTTGCTTGAAAAACGCAAGATCCTTACAACCTAACTTGTCTATGGCCTGCTTTGACCATATTGAAAGTGGAGCAGTCCCTGGTTGAAGTCTTTAGGTCTTTGATGGAGGTGGTCTTCCATGTGTTTCGAGTAGCCAGGGCGTGTGAGGGCCTCTGTGTGTTGGGGTAACAGTGCAGTGCCTTAAACAGCCCACAGCCTGCTAGTAGGTCTTGCACAGTGGGCAGGTCCTCATTAACAAAGCACATCACTGGCCACAGAATGGAAGGCTGCAGAAAGAACACTTAGTGTGTCTTTCTCCAGAAGACCTTGTCAGTTCAGTGGGAAAACAGGTGACCGTTGGAATTGTTTTGTGACTTGACTGCATTGACAGGTCTCACCAGTCGAAATTTGACTGTGGGAACCTAAAAGCCTGATGTGTCATAAAACCTGGTTTCCATGATCAGAAATGTTTTCCTCATGGCCTTTTCTCATGCTTTCCTAAGTTGCTTCTTGGTTCCACTGTATGAAACTCTTTCCTTTTAGGATTTTTGTTTTGATTTTGACTAATGAATTTCTAAATTCTCACCTACAATACATTGGCTTCATGATCCGATTCCGTATAAGTATATCCGGGCAGATGAATGGCACATTTCTATACTGCTGTCCGTTTTATTTTAGGTTCTTATTATGACTTGCTATGTCGCCTTGAGTGTTCTGAAGAATGGTTACTTATCGCTGTCAGACATTAACCTTTTGGTGTTTGATGAGTGTCATCTTGCAATCCTAGACCACCCCTATCGAGAAATTATGAAGGTAACTTTTTAGACTGTATCACTCTTCATTCATGGCCAGAGTACTGCTACCAGATTCTTCTAGGATACTAGAAGTAATAGTATTAGTTACCGATATTGGGAACACGGTTCCAGTGTATGAATGCATAAATAATAAATTAGTGTTCATGTAAATCTACAGTAGATTTTAAACATCATAAGATACATAAGATCCCTGTTTGTGTTTTGTGGCTTATCCGAATGTTCCTTTTTGGGAAGATGACCTTTTAAGCAAGCTGCAGTAATGCTGTCCTTGGTAAACTCACGTTTCCACTACACAAACCTTTTCAGATGTGCATTTGTTGCTGGTTTGGGGGTGTCACAATATGGAGGTGTCTCTCTTGTTATGGCCTTGCAAAATGAAGTCTTTACTGTCAGTATTTTTATTATGTTAGCTCTGTGAAAATTGTCCATCATGCCCTCGCATTCTGGGACTAACTGCTTCCATTTTAAATGGGAAATGTGATCCAGAGGAGTTGGAGGAAAAGATTCAGAAGCTGGAGAAGATTCTTCAGAGTAATGCTGAAACTGCAACTGACCTGGTGGTCTTAGACAGGTACGGGCTTCTGACTGGCTCGGCTCTGAGGCGTGTTCCAACCCACGGTAAACCCTCAGTATCTCCGGGAGTACTTTGCCGCAGTACCGTTTAAGTCAAGAAACGGTTGTTAAAAGGAGTGTGCAAGACTTGGAGCTCTTTCTGTGCACAGTCGGCTGTGAGGGCAAGACTCTAACCTTGTTCCCGGAGTAACAGGCAGAAGGACTGCTGCCTTGGGAGGTGATGTTGCTCAAGGGCCACCTCTCCCTGTTGGCTGTGCTGCCGGGCACTGGGGCCTTGGACAGTAAATCTGCGTTCTTCGCTGTGTGTGTGCTTTGTTGTTCTGCCCTAACTGTCTCCTGTGATGCCTTGGGAGAACACGAGTTTGTTTAGGGAGTTCAGCAGTATACTTTACAGATCGTTTCAGTTACGTCAAAGCAGTCGTGTGTCTGCATCAGATGCGGCCTCACTAAGGCGAAGATGACCAGGTGGTGGTTCTGCAGGTAGAACACACTGGGAGACGGGGTCTCGGCCTGTGGAGTGGAGTCAGGGGCGTCTCGCTGTAAACTGCATGACCTCGAGGGAGTCACTGAGTTGCCCGCTTCTGTGGGATGGTGGTGACAGTGGTTCCATGAGCTCTCTGGTGGTCAGTTGTGCAGACCCGTGGGAGGCAGCTTGTGGTGTGCTTGTTGTTCAGCAGGTTTTGGGAAAGCGCTCTTTTTGTAGAGGGAGAGGAAAGTAACCCTTTGGATATATCCAACAAGTATCCAGGGGCCATGGGCACTGCAGGGTTTGTGACGGAGACAGGCAGTCTCTCGCGTCCTGAGCCAGCAGCGTCTATGATTGGAAGTGAAAGACTGTCCTTGTGGTTTGATCTGGCCTAAGTTAGGTTACTTGTCTATATACTAAGAAGTAGAAGCTAAATAATAACTGATAAGTAATCTATTGGTTTAAGTGTTCCTAGTTCTCCAAATGTGGGTTTTTTTGTTAAGTGTAAATTCTCATCTGGTTTAAGAAAAATGAAAATTATAGTTTGTAAATATGTCTTTACTGTGTTCTTAATAAAATCATAGTATGTAATTTTAGGGTATTATGTGTCATTCTGGTTGTCTTTTTTTAATATTTATTTATTTGAAAGGCAGAGTTACAAAGATAGAGGCACAGAGAGTGAGAGAGAGAGAGCTTCCGGTTTACTCCCCAAATGGCACCAACCGCCAGAGCTGGGCCTGTCCAAAGCCAGAAGCTTCCGTAGATGAGGGTGGTGGGGCCCAAGCATTTGAACCATTGTCCGCTGCCTGCCAGACATGTTAATGGGGAGCTGGATGGAAGTGGAACAGGTGGGACCTGAACCACCGCCCATGTGGAATGCTGGCGGTGTAGACGGTGACTCATCTGTGATGCCACAGCACTAGCCCCTCTGGTTGTTGTTTGTAATGAAAGGCATGTTAAGAGCCAAAGAATTATATCAAATGAATGGAAGTTGGGGAAATTTTCTTTATGAGAGCACATTAAAAATAAAAATGAGGGGCCGGCGCTGTGGCGCAGTAGGTTGGTTAATCCTCCACTTGCAGCGCCTGCATCCCATATAGGCACTGGTTCTGGTCCTGGCTGCTCCTCTTCCAATCCAGCTCTCTGCTCTGGCCTGGGAAAGCAGTGGAGGATGGCCCAGGTCCTTGGGCCCCTGCACCCACGTGGGAGACCAGAAGAAGCTCCTGGCTCCTGGCTTCGGATTGGCACGGCTCCAGCTGTTGCAGCCAATTGGGGAGTGAACTAGTGGACGGAAGACCTTTCTCTCTGTCTCTCCCTCTCATTGTCTGTAACTTTACCTCTCAAATAAATAAATAAAATCTTTTAAAAAATAAATAAAATTGAATTTGCAAACGCTACAAACCCCTGATAGTATAAATTTACTGGTAAGACTTCCCTGTGATTATCCTGCCATCGCTGCTTCTGCTTCTCAGAAGTAACCAACATTGAGTGTTTTTCTTAGAATGAAACAAGGGTGTTGGGGAGGCAGTGGGCTCAGCGGGGGCAGCCTTCTGAGGAGAGCAGCCTGGAGTGTTATTTGGACAGAGCACTTTGTGCCTTCAAGCCTTCTTTTTCTTCCTGTCCTCTGGGGTGAGGCTGGCCTTCCGGGGCTGTGTGGTCCTGCTGGTGTGGGAGGCAGCAGGTGCTTGCCTCCTGCTCCTCGTCTTTCTCTTCTTCTCACCTCTCTTTTTGAAAATATCTTCTAAGTAATAATTTACTAGTTTGCAAAAATGCTATGTTTCCATGGGAAATTCAGTGATATTGAGAAGCAATACTGACATAGCCCACTGCTTACATTTTGGCGTATAGTCCTAGTGTCCTCTTTCCTTTGTTATTGAAAAAAGAAATTTTAAATTAAAGCTATTTTCACCATTATGATATTGATAACCTTTGTTTCTGATCTTAAAGATCCACTTCTCAGCCGTGTGAGATCGTGGTAGACTGTGGACCATTCACTGACAGAAGCGGCCTCTATGAACGACTGCTGGTGGAGTTAGAAGAAGCACTTAACTTTATCAATGACTGTAATATATCTGTACATTCGAAAGAGAGAGATTCTACTTTAATTTCTAAACAGGTGAGCACACAGAAAGTAAGTATGCTGAGTGTAATAAGACGTCTGTTTAGTTTTAATATTAAACTAAAAATGTTTCTCATGAGGCCATTTTCTGTACATTGTAGTTTAAGGCCTTATCTTTTTAAATCCTTGACATTTTCCAATGAATACACCCTGTTAGGTTGAGTTTCTCTGACAGATACGTAATTAAAAACCGAGCCCCATGATCTAAGAGTTAGGATTCACATCATGGCTCTTGAAGTAGAAGGGTGAGTCCAGGTTTTTGGTCAGGTGATTTAGTTCCTGCTCGAACCCTTGGACAGCGGATTCTTCTGTTTCCTAGTGCCTGTCCCCGAGTGGTACAGCTCTGAGGAGAGAGCCCTCAGCGCAGCAGGTGCCACAGCAGCAGGAGCAGCACCCGTCTCCCAGTTGTTAGGATGCCACCCTAGACCTGCTCAGCTGCAAGTTCTGGACTGGGGGCTTGGCGCTTGACATAAGCAGGTTACATGGCTGTCTGCAGTGCTGGCATCCCATACAGGCACCAGTTCGAGTCCCAGCTGCTCCACTTCCAATCCGGTTCCCTGCTAATGCACCTGGGAATGCAGCAGAAGATGGCCCCACTCCTTGGGCCCCTGCACCCACGTGGGAGACCTGAGGAAGATCCTGGCTTCAGATTGGCCAGTGCAATCATTTGGGGAGTGAACCAGTGGATGGTCTCTGTCTCTAACCCTGCAAAAAAAAAAAAAAAAAAAGTTCTGGGCTGGCGTTCCCAGAGCTGAATTTTAAGTTTTGAATGAGTTGTGTTAGGACAGCCCCTCTCCTGACCCTGGCACATTCAAGCTGGAGAACCACTGCTCTCAGACTTTGCAGCCAGTTCTGAGTGTCAGCATGTGGTGATCGTCATGTCCCTCCTGGTGACTTTGCCTAGAGCAACAGTTTCTCAGCCGCTGAATGTTTGCAGAGGTCGTATTCAACCCGTGGCCATGCCTTGGTTTAGCCTCGCTGTGGATCTCCTTTGGCTCTGGACTAGAGCAGTAAGATGCTGCATCGTGGGAGGCTCTGGGAGCAGAATTGGGAGAGGCTGTCACGTCGAGGAGCCCCGACCTGGCGGTTTCCTTGAAGTGACAGCAGAGGACGGTCGTGCAGTGGTTCTAGAACAGGCTGAACCCTCAGCCGGCAGTGCTGGCTAGGGACTGGCCACAGTTCATCCATAGTCTTTCTCCTCCTAATACTCATAATGGAATATGTATGAAACCAGGGGTGTTGTACATAGTTAAAGTTCAAGGAAAATTGTTTTGCTCTTCAAGTAAGAATAAAAGTGGCTAAAGTGAAATTGTTCCGAAGATGAAATCTATGGTAAAATCTCTTTGCTCCATAATTCTTTATGTAGTTTGGCAGTAGTAAGTGACAAAGATGTAGTTCTAATAATCAGAGATTTAAAATTAAGTTTGAATAGCTTCCTACGCTTGTCCTTTTACATTTGTATTTTTTTTTTGCTGGGAAGGAAAGAGACGGTTTTCAGCTCTCAGCACGTGGGTCCGCGCCCCACCTCCCCATATATATACAGTAGTGGAGCTTGAAAAGACGGGTGTCCCCCCCAAGCACAGGGAGCCAACCTCAGTGTCTGTATTGGTAGGGCGATTTCTTTTGAATGAGTAGACCGAGGACAGCTTAAATCCCAGCTGAACCTAATACGAAAATGCTGCATGATTATTCTCTAACGATTGGTGTTTTCCTCTTTTTGTAGATCCTATCAGACTGTCGGGCGGTGCTGGTAGTTCTGGGACCTTGGTGTGCAGATAAAGTCGCTGGCATGATGGTAAGGGAATTACAGAAATACATCAAACACGAGCAAGAGGAGCTGCACAGGAAGTTCTTACTGTTTACAGACACTTTCCTGAGGAAGATACACGCACTCTGCGAAGAGCACTTCTCACCTGCCTCACTGGACCTGAAGTTTGTAACCCCGAAAGTAGTGAAACTGCTGGAAATCTTGCGCAAATATAAACCATATGAGCGGCAGCAGTTTGAGAGCGTGGAGTGGTATAATAATAGGAATCAGGACAATTATGTGTCTTGGAGTGATTCCGAAGATGATGATGAAGATGAAGAAATTGAGGAGAAAGAGAAGCCAGAGACAAATTTTCCTTCTCCATTTACCAATATTTTATGTGGAATTATTTTTGTGGAAAGAAGATACACAGCAGTTGTCTTAAACAGGTAAATCTCGAAGATTAGCATTTTTCCCCTCTAGAACAAGGCACTTTTTGTGTGTGAAGTGACCCAGCCTGATAGCTTCGGCGCGGTTGAGTAGGGGCTGTGTGGTGTCCTAAGTGGTGTGGGAAGCCGGCCAGGGTGAACAGAAGGATGGCACAAGCGCAAGAGCTTCCCTAAAAGGCGAGCTGGATGTGACTGAGGTCTTTTTTTTTTTTAAGATTGTATTTATTTATTTGAGAGGCAGAGTTACAGACCATGAGAGGGAGAGACAGAGAGAAAGGTCTTCCGTCCATTGGTTCACCCCCCAAATGGCTGTAACAGCCGGAGCTGCGCCGATCCGAAGCCAGAAGCCAGGTGCTTCCTCCTGGTCTCCCACGCAGGTGCAGGGGTCCAAACACGTGGGCCATCTTCTACTACTTTCCCAGGCCACAAGCAGAGAGCTGGATTGGAAGAGGAGCAACCGGGACTAGAACCTGTGTCCACGTGGGATGCTGGCGCCGCAGGCGGAGGATTAACCTACTGCTCCAAGGCACTGGCCCTGTAACTTTAGATCTTACAGGGTGCTAATCCATTATAATTCATCTAAAATAGAGAACAAGTATAGAAAAATTAAGCTGCAATAAGTATAGCACTCATTTTGCACTCAGTTGTTAGACTCAGTTGATCGTGTGCTGGCATTGTGTTGGACTTGCACATCGAGCGCTCGCCTTCTGCTCATGTTAGCATGTATTTTATGTTTGGTATTGTGACTTTTTTTTGTTAAAGATGTATTTATTTATTTGCAAGGCAGAGTCAGAGAGAGAGAAAGAGAGAGCGAGCTTCCATCTGCTGGTTCACTCCCTAAATGCCTGTAATGGCCTGGCTGGGCCAGGCTGGAGCCAGGAGCCAAGCTTCATCCAGGTCTCCCACAAGGGTGGCGAGGCCCAAGTGTTCAGAACATCTTCAGCTGCTTTCCCAGGTGCATTATCAGGGAGCTGGATTGGAAGTGGAGCGTCGGGTACAGGAGGAGGCTTAGCCCTCTGCACTGGCCGTGATGTGTTGGGATTTTTTCCCTCAAGGTGATACTGTGAAATACGTGATTGGTCTTTTTACCCCTTTTCTGACAAATAATTGAAAATCCCTGGAATATTCAAAGACAAGGTTGGAGGGTTGAAACTTTGAGCCCCACCCCTGACTTCTGGGAGGGGGGAGGAGCTGAAAGTTAAGCTGATTGCAAGCGGTCAGTGACTTAGTCACTCCTGCCTGTGTAATGGAACCTCCATAAAACTCTAGAAAGACAGAGTTCTGAGAGCTTCTGGGTAGCTGAACACGTGGAGGTGTCTGGAGGGTGGCGGGCGCCCCTCCCCCTCCCCTGCCTTGTGCTTCTCTCCCCTTACTCATCCGGGTCCTTTGTAGCATCCTTCCTAGTACACTAGTGCACGTAAGTACGCGTTTCCCTGAGTTCTGTGGGCTTGTGGAATCCTGACTTGGCTGCTGGGTCAGAAGCACAGGGAGGGCGGCTGTGGCTGGCGTCTGGAGCGTGGAGCCCTCAGCCTGGGGCCTCTGACGCCGTCTGGAGGTGATGGTGTCGAGGACTCTGAGCTGGCGCCCTGCTCGGAGCTCCCGGCTGCTCCCTGGTGCGGGAAGTCGTCACGTGAGTCCTCTGTGTGTGTTGTGGTGTGAGAGCCGGGGAAAAACAGCTTAGTTTTCTAACACAACCAATGTTCCAAGTCGCAGTGGAAACGCTGAGGGGAGCTGGACTTGCAGTTGGGGTTCGTTGTAGACTCCGCACTGACGTTTTCTGAATCAGGTTGACAGTGTCGGGAAGAGTTCCGAGGATCTAGGCGAGGGTGACGGCGCATTCGAATTTTCGGTCGTGGGTTCTGACCCTTCCCTCTTCTGTCTCCTGGATGCAGTGCCCGCCGCGGAGCCGTGCCTGATTTGTGTCAGATGCTCGCGGGGCGGAGGGTCCTCCTGGTTTGCGAGTAGATGTGTGATTTTCCGTGAAAATCCTTGTTTTGTGCTTAGGACAATCGCCTTTTCTGTGAGACCCACTAATTGGCCAGAGTGATTCCTACGAGCCTTTTCTGCAAGTAGTGATCTCTGAGGGAAAATTAAGCTTTGTTTCCTGAGGTAATTTGGAATTTTTTTCTTAACTGCTTCTGAATGTTTGGGGTTTTAAAAACCTTTCTGAGTAACGAGCCGTTGGGCTCGAGGGCAGCCATCTGGCAGTTCCAGCCTGGTCATTTCCCTGCTGAGGGGCAGGAGGGAGAGGACTTGAGGGGCTGAGTTACTGAAGCAGAGGTTTAGGGTCGGAAAGGGACCTCATTGACTATCTAATCCAGCCCACTTACTCTTATAAAACACGGAAAGTGCCTCAGGGAGGAGAAGCGATTTGCTCCGAGTTAAATTGCTGGTCTGCGGCAGAGGCAGTTCTAGAATCCTAATAACCTAACCCTGGTTGCCCGTTCTTTCCCCAGTCAGAGAGCTCCTGGGCGTCTCGACACCAAAGCCCGGTGCTCCCCCGGGAAGGCTGCCAGGGCACGAGAGGAGCTGACCAGGGAGTGCTGCCTGGGTGCCGAGAGAGGCTTTGGAGGGGCAGAAAAGCTGAGCACTGAGCCTTCCAGCTCAGGCTGGTTGTGGGCTCCTCCCTGCCCCCAGCAGGGGGTGGAAGCATTAAACAAACTTTGTGGGGCTTGGAGAGGAGAAATGGGGTTCATTTTCTTCTTCCCTGTTTTCTGCAGGCATTTTATGTGCAGATGTGTGGTTTTCTGTACAGGAATGAACGTTAACCTGAAAAGGTTTATCCAGACTCAATCAGTGACTTCCTATGGACTTCAAGGATCAGATTAATTGTGATCAACTTTCATCCGACGTGGCTGGAATTTAGTGTGTGTGCTGGATCGAGAGCGGCTGTGGCGGATTTTATGAGCAGCTAATTAAATGCACAATCGTGGTCTTGTTCCAGTAAGCTTTTTAATAAGCTTAGGAAAACTTCCTGAAATCCAGATTCTTTCCTTCCATCGGTTTAATGGGGGGGAACCCCTTCCTCAGTGAGGATTTCCTGAGCGTGGAAGCTGTTGTTGCGCGGTGGTGAAGCTGTTGTTGTGCAGTGGTGAAGCTGTTGTCGCGTGGTGGTGAAGCTGTGGGCTCCCGGGGACGCAGCTGCCAGGCTGAGATGAACCTGTCTGCATGTGGTAGGGAAACTGTTGTACAGTGGTGAAGCTGTTGTGAGTGGTGAAGCTGTTGTCGTGCGGTGGTGAAGCTGTTGTGCAGTGGTGAAGCTGTCGCGCGGTGGTGAAGCTGTTGTGTGGTGGTGAAGCTGTTGTCGCGTGGTGGTGAAGCTGTTGTCACACGGTGGTGAAGCTGTTGTGCAGTGGTGAAGCTGTCGCGCGGTGGTGAAGCTGTCATCGTGTGGTGGTGAAGCTGTTGTGCGGTGGTGAAGCTGTTGTATGGTGGTGAAGCTGTTGTGCAGTGGTGAAGCTGTTGTGCGGTGGTGAAGCTGTTGTGCAGTGGTGAAGCTGTTGTCGCGCGGTGGTGAAGCTGTTGTCGCGCGGTGGTGAAGCTGTTGTCGCATGGTGGTGAAGCTGTTGTTGCGCGGTGGTGAAGCTGTTGTGCGGTGGTGAAGCTGTTGTATGGTGGTGAAGCTGTTGTGCGGTGGTGAAGCTGTTGGTGGTGGTGAAGCTGTCGTCGCGTGGTGGTGAAGCTGTTGTCACGCGGTGGTGAAGCTGTTGTCACGCGGTGGTGAAGCTGTTGGTGGTGGTGAAGCTGTTGTCACGCGGTGGTGAAGCTGTTGTGCAGTGGTGAAGCTGTTGCCATGCGGTGGTGAAGCTGTTGTCACGCGGTGGTGAAGCTGTTGTCACGCGTTGTGATGCTGTTGTCGTGTGTGTGAAGCTGTTGTCACGCGGTGGTGAAGCTGTTGTCACGTGGTGGTGAAGCTGTTGTCGCGCGGTGGTGAAGCTGTTGTGCGGTGGTGAAGCTGTTGGTGGTGGTGAAGCTGTCTTCGCGTGGTGGTGAAGCTGTTGTCACGCGGTGGTGAAGCTGTTGTCACGTGGTGGTGAAGCTGTTGTGCAGTGGTGAAGCTGTTGCCATGCGGTGGTGAAGCTGTTGTCACGCGGTGGTGAAGCTGTTGTCACGCGGTGGTGAAGCTGTTGTCGTGTGGTGGTGAAGCTGTTGTCACGCGGTGGTGAAGCTGTTGTCACGTGGTGGTGAAGCTGTTGGTGGTGGTGTACCCTCCTAATCGGAACAGCTGCCCTGTGTGGTGGATGGAGTGTGCGCAGGCTTAGGTGCGCAGTTGTCCTTTGACAAACCTTACGTAGGGGTTCAGTGTTGTTTCATGTACTTAAAGATTTTCCCAGCACTCTGAGGGAGGAGGGGAGGTGTTCCTGCCATATGACAAATGAAGAAACCAGGGCTCAGTTTGTTATTCCACCCCAGAGAAGTTACACAGATACCAAGTGACAGAAAAAAGGCTTTCAGTCTAAAAGTCTAGTGGCCTTGTCACCATGTACCTTATTAACAGTGTGATGCCAGCGCTGCACAGGCCTGGCTCACGGCCCTCCCGGTTCCCCCGTTCACTGCTGTTGGAATGATTTTAGACCGGGAAGGCAGTGCAGAGAAGCCCCGTGTCTGCTGCCGCACTGCCTCACCTGTTTTGCCCACTGGTAAGCATCACCAGCGTCACAGTGAGAAGGACCGACCTTGGCGCGTTACTGTTGACTAAACTCTGCACCGGCTTTGCATTTTGCCATGTTCCCGTTCACGTCCTCTTTGTATTCTAAGGTAGTCTGAGGTCGCCTGTTGTCACATCTCCCCAGGCTCCTCTGGTCTCTAACAGTGTCTCTGCCTCACTTTTGATCAGTCTGGAGGAGGTCTGGACAGTGTTTGCAGCATGCTCCTCTGTTGGGGTTTGCCTGATCCTTTTCAGAACTAGACCAGGGTTGTTGGTGTTGCAAGAATGCGCAGAGCTGACACGCCCCTCGTCCTACCAGGTCAGGGGCTCGGGACCAGCAGGAGGCATCCCTGGGGACGCTAAGCTCCACTGCACGCTAAGACGGTGTTGCCACTTTGCTCTGTTCTTCCCTTCTCTGACGTGATTCTCTGGGAGCAAGTCTCCAAATCCGGCCCTCCTGGGAGGGGTTCATCTGTGCTCCCACGAGAGCGGCGTCTGCCTGCATCATTTGGGACTCTCCTGTCTGGCCGTGCCTGTGCCTGTGCTCATTGGCCCACGTGTCGGTACCGCAAAGGCTCATCTTCCTTGCCTAGGGTTATAGCCCAGTGCTGGGTGTCTGTGTTGTTGACCACATTGTTCCAACGTTGACCACTTTGAGATCAGCACCCGAGATCCTTTGCCAAGCCCTCGCCCTCTGTGTTCGAGGGCACTGCGGCTGTCTGGTACTGCAGGGTGCCCAGGCCCGGTGTTTCCCTGCCTCAACCCATTTGCGCCATTTTGCCATGGAGTCTCGGTTCCTTTTACTTTTACTCAACTTTTTAGGTACATATCTTGTAAAAGTTACTAAATTTTTTGAAGTCTGAGTCTTTTTAATCTGTAAAACAATAATAATACCTCGCTTTGTTATTGGCCCATCGGTGAGAGGAAATGCATATTTGAATGACTGATGTGTCACCTGGTACACAGTGGATGCCAGTTCTTAATGCCTGTATTTGTGGGGGTGCAGTTCTGCTGTCCTCTATCCTGTCCTGGAATTGTTGGTGCTAGGTTTTTGCTATGATCAGGCACACAGGGATTTATTTGAATTTCTCCCATTGACCGGAAAGTACAAGGTAGAAAGGATGCTATTAAAGATATTGTTGATAATGTACTTGAAGTAGCTGGTAGAAATTCCAGAAGACATGTATATATTTTTAATTTTTTTTATGGTTTTCAGTAATACATCTAGCTTTCTGAATTTACTATACAAACATAGTTCCTGTTTTTGGTTATCCTATTTCCAGTCTAACGAGGGAGGCTGTGTACATTCATGTATAAGCAAAATACTGGCCGGCGCCGCGGCTCACTAGGCTAATCCTCTGCCTAGCGGTGCCGGCACACTGGGTTCTAGTCCTGGTCGGGGCGCCGGATTCTGTCCCGGTTGCCCCTCTTCCAGGCCAGCTCTCTGCTGTGGCCAGGGAGTGCAGTGGAGGATGGCCCAAGTGCTTGGGCCCTGCACCCCATGGGAGACCAGGAGAAGCACCTGGCTCCTGGCTTTGGATAGGCGCGGTGCGCCGACTGCAGCACGCCAGCCGCGGAGGCTATTGGAGGGTGAACCAACGGCAAAGGAAGACCTTTCTCTCTGTCTCTCTCTCTCACTGTCCACTCTGCCTGTCAAAAAAAAAAAAATATATATATATATATCATCTGGGGCCTGGGTGCAGGACTTCCCTCTGCTGAGGATTAAGTGCAAGCCTTTGGAAACGCCTCTGACAGGTTGAAGTAGCTGTATGTTTGCTGAACAGAATAAAATCAGTGTTTGAATTCCAGTGCTCTTTAAGTTTCATGTTATTAATGCCTCATTGAAAAAAAAAGTATCTGAAAGAAAGATCTTCCATCCTGCTGGTACATTTCCCAAATGCTTGCCGCAGCCGGGACTGGGCCAGGCTAACGCCAGGAGCCAGGAACTCAGTCTGGGTCTCCCACATCCATGGCAGGGGCCTAAGTCCTTGAGCCGTTGCTTTCTGCCTCCCAGGTACAGCGTGGGCACTCTGATACAGGGTGCGGGGTCCCAGGCAGCACCTTACCTGTGTGCCAGATACCTGCCTCCTTGGTAGTTCATTCCAGAGTCTTACACATAGTAGTGGTTTCTAATAGATTGGAAAGTAGGGAAACAAAAAAACAACAAAAACAAAAAACAAAACAGAAAGCTGGGTTTTGGCGCGATGGTGTCAGAAGCTCTGCACTAGAGGACAGCTGAACGTCTCTATCAAACGGCTTGCTGTGGACAGTCAGTTCCCTAAACTCAGGGCACACATAAACAAACAAGTAAGACTGTTTCCCCCATTCAGCGAGACTATGGAATCTTTAGGCAATTGGTGTTAGTCTCTTGTAAATTTCCTGAGGTTGGCCCATCCTGAGAAGCCCTTAGTTGTGTCTCGGCTCATGTGAGGTCCAGCAGAGAGACATTTCTGCCTCTAACTATCAGCATGGGTGTGTCGCTTTTAACTGCTGCCCACAGAGATGCTGTCTGTTAATGTGCATGTGGCCTCTTGCCAATTTCATGTGGCTGTCCTTAGAATAAGTGAATCTGGGGGCCGGTGCTGTGGCACCATGGGTTAAAGCCCCAGTATGCAGCACTGGCATCCATATGAGTGCTGGTTCAAATCCCGGCTGCTCCATTTCTGATCCAGCTCTCTGCTATGGCCTGGGAAAGCAGTAGAAGATGGCCCAAGTCCTTGGGTCCCTGCACCCACATGGAAGAAGCTCCTGGCTCCTGGCTTTGGATTGGCACAGCTCTGGCCATTGCAGCCATCTGGGAGTGAAACACCAGGTGGAAGATCTTTCTCTCTCTCTGCCTCTGCCTCTCTGTAACTCTGACTTTCAAATAAATGAATAAATCTTTAAAAAATAAAATAAGTGAATCTGTTAGTATTCCCATTGCTCAGCTGAGGGCTGCCAGAGTGATAATGTTGGCAAAGTAAATATATTCTCTGCCTAATTAGGAGTGGCTTGATATGCAAGCTACTGTAATGCCTTCCGGTTGATAAACCAAAATTTGGAAGTATGTATTATATCTGAAGTAATTTTTCCTTATTTCAGACTTTTGAGAGTGCTGTTTGCATGCAGTTCTGTTTTCTATTATGGGTACCATACACTTATGATAGTAATTAAACCTTGGAGCCCAATAAAGAAGTTTCTGATGCTGCAGGTTTGGAGTCCTTGACCTGCAGGACGGCCTCTCAAGTTAACCTAGACCTGCCAGCGTTCTGCTGATGGGGAGGCAGCCATCTCCTAAGTGGCCACTCAAGGTTTCCTCCAGCTCTTTGATATTAGTCTGTTTCGTGTATTTAACAAAAAGAATGGCTTGACTTAAAAATGCAGTTCTCTGTTAGGAATTTATACTACGTAGTATGGCTTAAGAAGAACCATATGGAGTCGTTTATGTCAGGTGTGGAACCATTTATCCCATGTGCCGAGTTTTTGAATGCAGATTTTCTAGAATGGCTGTAATGGCCACACTGACTGCTAACCTTCGCTGTCCATGTAATGTGATCCTGTCCTGTAGCTCTGCCATTTCTCGGCCAGAAGGCCAGCTGGGTTAAGAGAGAGGAACAGGCTGGAAGTGGGCAGCTCGGAGACTTCTCTTCCTGACAGCATGGGGCGGGAATCCTCTGCCTGCGGTGCTGCAGCCTGGTGTCTGCTTTGTGGGAGTCTGGGCAGTGGCCAGGCAGGTTCTGGGAACTGAGGTGACGAGGTGTTGCTTTCAAAGAGCTCTGCTTCCAGGGAAGTGTTGGGGTGAGATGACAGGAACGAGCCGTTCTTGTTCACACACAGCCGGAACCCGTTCGTTACGCACGGGGCGTGAGGCCTCCTTTGCTGTAGACATTCTTCTTTGGGATCGGACTTCTTTGCAGGTCCTTGTTCTTGTAACCAGGGCTGTAGAGAAGGGGGCATGGCCACCGTGGATGCTGGGCACGCGTCAGGAGAAGTGTGTTGAGCTGCTGCATTGCAAGTTCCGTCCAGAAGCCAGGATGTGTGAGGACCCAGGTTTCTCTGTCTGGTCCCATCCTGAGCCATGTTCCTTCCTCCCTCCCTTCCTCCCCTCCCCCTCCCCCTTCCCATCTTTCATTCTTTTTTTTTTTTTTTTTTAAAGGCAGTGCAACACAGGGAGAGAAGCAGAGATCTTCCATGTGCTGGTTCACTCCCCAAATGGCTGCAATGGCTGGGGCTGGGCCAGGCCAAAGCCGGAAGCCAGGAACTCTGTTCCGGTCTCTCGTATGGGTGGCAGTGGCCCAAATACTTGTGCCATCATCTACTGCCTCCCAGGCTTGTTATTTGGCAGTGGGATCAGAAACAGAGCAGCCAGGACTTGAACCAGGACTCAAATGGGCCTGCAGTGTCACAAGTGAGAGCTTAACCTGCCGCAGCAGGTGCTGGCCCACGTTTCTAATAAGTTGTCGTCACTCAGTTAGAAGTTGGAAATACTGTGAGCGTCTCTCATGTCAGTATTTGTCAGCCTGAGTTTGGCGTGATGAGAACTTGGTCCACAGAGTTTGTGTGGTGAGTGTGGCAGTGATTCTGTTTAAGCTAGTTGGAAAAAATACGATAGGTGTGTTGGCAAAGTAGAGCAGGTATTTCTGTAAAGGAGAATTTACAAACAGAAGTCTAAATTGCTTTCCCTCAGCTGTTCTTAACTTCCAAATGTGTGTGATTTTCTTAGATTGATAAAGGAAGCAGGCAAACAGGACCCAGAGCTGGCTTATATCAGCAGCAACTTTATAACTGGACATGGCATTGGAAAGAATCAGCCTCGGAACAAACAGATGGAAGCGGAATTCAGAAAACAGGAAGAGGTAACTGAAATCAGGATGGTTGTACGATCGCCATTTCCAGAGTGCACAGACAGGGTGCCCTTGAGAACCCCCCTTCTTCATAGTTTCCCGCGCTTTCTGTCTTTCGTGCTACGGATACTCACTCGTACACAGGCCAGCTGTCTGCTGGGCGGTAGCTGTAGCCTGGTTTCTGTGCTCAGAATTCGAATAGCTGTCTGTCAGATCTTTTTTTTGTCTTAATCCGTTTTCCTTTGTTGGGTTGGTGTCACATAACCACATTTCACAGGTGAACATAGCACGTAGAAGTAACTCCTGTTCATTCCGTGGGACCCTGAAGGGACAAGCCCTCTCCTAGAAGGATTTTCTTTCTGCCCTTAAGCCCTGTTTTGGTATCTGTGCTGTTTTAGGGATGTGGTGTGTATTTCTCGCGCTTTCCAGGGTCTCAGTGCCATTCACAGTACTGCAGAGAGCCGGCATCGACTGCTCGGAAACAAAAACCTTTCAAAGTTTATTGTTTAACTCAAAGTTAGAAGGCATTTGAGTCCCAGCTTTCTGATGATATTCCAGGGGTGGGGGAATCCAGGAGCCAGTGTGACACATTGGACCCTCTAAAAACCGGCTTATGTGACTGTTCAGTTTACCCCGAATTGGACAGCGATAGGATTTTAAATCTGGTGTGAAAAAGCTGTGACTTCCATGTTTTAATAAATTCTGACTCCTTAAATCGAAAATTTCCCAAGGTGCCAGAAAAATGAGTAATGCCCTGTCTGTGGGTTTGAGTTTTTTTCTTTCTTTTTTTTTTTTTTAAACTTATTTATTTGACAGGTAGAGTTATAGACAGTGAGAGAGAGAGAAAGAGAGAAAGGTCTTCCCTCCGTTGGTTCACTTCCCAAATGGCCACTACGGCCAGCGCACTGTGTGCACTGATCCGAAGCCAGGAGCCAGGTGCTTCTCCTGGTCTCCCATGGGGTGCAGGGCCCAAGCACCTGGGCCATCCTCCACTGCCTTCCCGGGCCACAGCAGAGAGCTGGACTGGAAGAGGAGCAACCGGGACAGAATCCGGCGCCCCGACCGAGACTAGAACCTGGTGTGCTGGCACCGCAGGTGGAGGATTAGCCTAGTGAGCCGCCGCGCCAGCCCTGGGTTTGAGTTCTAAATGAGTTAGGGAGTTTAGTGATAAAATTTGATGTTTTTGAGGAATCTTGGCCCAGTCTCATAGACATGAGACAGCTCTGAGGAGGAACAGAGGGTCAGCACAACTCCAGAAGTGAGTTCATCTGGGCTCTTGAGTGGGGAGATCCACCTGACGTAAAGAAGCCCGTCTCTCTCCAGCGTGCAGCTGTAAGGCTCCCTGGCTTGTGACGGGGTGCCTCCGGAGCACGGAAAGGCATTCTTTCTTTCCTTTTAGATTTATTTATTTACTTGAAAGGCAGAATTGGAGAGAGGGAGAGAGAGAGAGGGGGAGATCTTCTATCCACTGGTTCACTCTCCAGATGGCCACAGAAGGCAGCACAGGAGCCAGGAGCTTCTTCCAGGTCTCCCATGTAGGTGCAGGGGCCCAGCACTTGGACTGTCTTCTGCTGCCTTCCCAGGTGCATTAATTAGCAGGGCACTGGATGGGAAGTGGAACAGCCAGGACTTGAACTGGTGTCCGTGTGGGATGCTGGTGCTGCAGGCCGTGGCTCAACCGGCTGTGCCGCGGTGCCGGCCCCTAGAAATGTGTTCCGATGCCCTGGTCACGTGCAGGTGAGCACCGCTGTCAGTGACTCAGCGTTTCTGCGTCTGCGCACTGCAGGTTTCCTGTGATTCGGTCATCTCTGTACCTTGGCTTCAAAGATTGATCATGACTAGAAAGGACAGCATGATTTTTTTTTTAAATTTTACTGCATTATTTTCTTTGAAAGTTTCTCAGAATTGCTCTTTTTTTGTGGATTTGTTTTCTAGGTACTTCGAAAATTTCGAGCGCATGAGACCAACCTGCTCATTGCAACGAGTATTGTAGAAGAGGGTGTTGATATACCAAAATGCAACTTGGTGGTTCGATTTGATTTGCCTACAGAGTATCGATCCTATGTTCAATCTAAAGGAAGGGCAAGGGCGCCAATCTCTAATTATATAATGTTAGCAGATACAGACAAAATAAAAAGTTTTGAAGAAGATCTTAAAACTTACAAAGCTATTGAAAAGGTAAGTTCAAAAAAGTAATATGGCGTCTTCGGTATTATTTGTGTGCCTAGAAGTAGATAGAGCAGTTTCAGCGACTGCGTGGCTTCCGCAGGAGCGTGCAGTGTGCCCACGTCAGGAGCTGAGAGGGAGGCAAAGCCGCAGGCCACTGTGCGTATGTGAAAGGTCACAGTGCGGCAGCGGGGGGTGGGGTGGGGGTGGGGAAGGTGCCTGGGCTGTCGAGGATGGGTGTCTGGAGTGCGCCCCGGAGGTGTGCACTGACCACCTGGGGCACAGAGGGCGGTGACGTGACAGGCGCAGCAGAGTGTGGGAGACGGGGGTGTTCTGCATCCAGAGCTTTTCTGGAGCTACAGAAGCGGGCGCCTGGCCCGGCAGAGGAGACGCTTGTTCCCGCGGTAACGCCTGTTTGTGAACCGCCAGATCCTGAGAAACAAGTGCTCCACGTCGGTCGACACTGGGGAGACTGACGTGGATCCTGTCGTGGACGACGACGACGTTTTCCCTCCGTATGTGCTGAGGCCTGATGACGGCGGCCCGCGGGTCACCATCAACACGGCCATCGGGCACATCAACAGGTAGGTGCCCGGGTCTGCGTGCGGCGAGCCCGAGCCCGGGGGCGTGGTGGGGCGTGGTGGTGTTCACAGCCTGCAGGCACAGTACTGTGCAGTTACATTTCACTCTTTGGGCTCACAGAATGGAGACGTGCTCATTTTACTTGGGTTTCATTTAATTTTATTGTGCTCATTAATTTTTCTTTTCTAAATCGTGAACTTCGCTGTTTTATGCCACAGATGTTAGGTAACGTTGAATTTTCCATTAGCAGTTACATGAGATTATGATTATTGTATTTTTTAGTATGTTTTAATGTACACTTGCTGAGCTCATAATGACATTTCTAAGAACTAAATTATCTTCACAGATCCGGAATAGTTTCTGTGTGCCATCCTTCATGTATGTGGCAAAGTTCACTTTAAATAAAAACGTGGTCCCTGGTTGCACACGTCAGATTCCAGGCACCCGGCAGCCATTGAGTGCCTGGCAGACAGTGCAGAGCCGGGACCGTTCACGGGAAGTTCTGTTTGATGGCACCATTCTGTGTGATTCAAAGAGAGAAGCGGCGAGGTGGCAGCTCCCTGTGGCTATGCCAGTCCGGCAAGGGGGGGAGGGGCCAGCACGGGTGCGAGGCTTGGTCGTGCGTGTCAGTACACGCTGTGGATTCAGCCCAGGATCTCTCTCCCCACAGATACTGTGCCAGATTACCAAGTGATCCGTTCACTCACCTGGCCCCTAAATGCAGGACCCGAGAGTTGCCGGATGGTACCTTTTATTCCACTCTGTATCTGCCAATTAACTCACCTCTGCGAGCCTCCATTGTTGTAAGTTTAGAAGAAGGAATGAATGTGCCTTTTAAAGTGTGTCATTAATGGATTCTTTTTCAGCTTCTGTAAGATATGCACGAGGTAAGTGTGGCTGTAGAATCTGCTTTAAAAAGCAGATTTCTAGAGCACGTTTGTGGTCAGCCGCATGTTCAGTCTGGTAGACTGAAAGTTCCTGGCGCTGGGCTGGATGGCCTCTGAGGTCTCCACGAAGCCCTTTCTATAGAGCCCTGTTTGAGAGGGTCATGCAGCTGTGGCTGATACAGTTACAGGGACACACACTTCGTGCAAGTTGGGCGGCTCCAGTTATCTTGTTGTTGTTTACTCAGGAATCTGCATTTGTAATGCCGTCCTCGGTCCCAATACTGATTTCCAGATATTCCAACGTCACTAATTCCCGTTGCACCTAAAAAGCACTCAATACTGTTAATCTTTGTTACAGTTTCATCCTAGTGTGTCTTTGTTTTGGTTTTTTATTGCACGTTTGTGTATTAGTAAAAATGAGGGTTTCGAAATGTTACTGATATTTAAATTGATCAGAATGAATAGAATCTTAGTTATGACAGTTTTTATTAGGAGAGGGGTTCTAAAGATGGAGTTTTCAGATATTCAGATAAAGATTTTTTATAAAACTTGCTGGCATTTTTTAAAATAAACTTTGTTCTGGTAAATTGAACTTCGAAGGTACTGAAGCAGAGTTCTCGTCCAGGTTTTGTGTGCCAATGATAACACGGCTACACGTACATGAAATGGAAATGTCTTTTGTTATTTTCAGGGTCCACCAATGAGTTGTGTACGGTTGGCTGAAAGAGTTGTAGCTCTCATTTGCTGTGAAAAACTGCACAAAATTGGTAAGGATGTTTGAAAAACATATGCAAATGAGAATAAAATGCTTATGCATTATAAAAAGCATATCAAGGAATGTATAGGTTTTTTTTTTTAAGATGTATTTATTTATTTGAAAGAGATACACAGAGAGAGAAGGAGAGGCAGGGAGAGAGAGAAGTCTTCCATCTGCTGATTTGCTCCCCAATTGGCTGCAACAGCTGGAGCTGCGCCGATCCGAAGCCAGGAGCCAGGAATTTCCTCCTGGTCTCCCACATGCGTGCAGGGGCCCAAGACCTTGGGCCATCTTCTACTGCTTTCCCAGGCCACAGCAGAGAGCTGGATCAGAAGTGGAGCAGCCAGGACTCAAACCGTTGCCCATATGGGATGCCGGCACTGCAGGCGGCAGCTTTACCCGGTACGCCATAGCGCCGGCCCCGTCTAGGTTTCTAAGCATTGTGTAGAGCCTTGAGCTTGCCGCTCTTGGTGTGTTTTGGGGAATGTGAATGCTGTTATGGAACTTGAAGACCCTGCAGCGCCGTGGAGGCTCCTTGTGTTCCGCAGCTTAACTGCGAACAACTATCAATTCTTGGTGTCCTTTACATGAAGGTCTTTTTTAACTCTGAGTTATGAACCAGGGTTTAATCCCTCTCAGTCTATGCTGATATACAAATTAAACTTAAAACACACACACACACACACACACGACTTATTTTCCATGGCCTGCTTATTCAGAAGGGATATGTGATGTTGTCCTGTTTAAATGTTTTTATTTTTGAATCTTAGGATAGAATTTGTAGTCTGAATGGCACAGTGGATTTTGCCTGAGTAGCAGCTATGGTCACTTTCATGTTATTAAAGATGCAGATACCTTAGTGTTCATCACTTTAGTTAACTTCCTGACTGTTGTAGATTATTTACAGGTGCAGGCTTTGGCACTGCTGGTTAAACCAGCCCTCGCACACCTGCACCCCCTATCAGAGGGCCCTTTAGAGAGCCCTGGCTGCTCTGCTTCCCATCTGACTTCCTGCCACCGCATCCTGGGAGCTCAGGTGAGTGGGCCTGGGACTTACCCTGGGCCCAGGGTGCAGCTCCAGGCTCCTGAATTCAGCCTGGCCCAACCCTGGCTGTTGCAGGTGTGTGGGAAGCGAACCAGTGGATAGAAGGTATCTTTCTGTGTCTGCCTGTTCAAGTAAGTGAAAGCAAATAAATATTTAAGAAAATAGATTGTTTGCTAGTTAGTTAGAAAGCAGAAGTCTCGATTGTGTTAATTCTCTTTTAAAACTTTGTAGGTGAACTGGATGAACATTTGATGCCAGTTGGGAAAGAGACTGTTAAGTATGAGGAGGAGCTTGATTTACACGATGAAGAAGAAACCAGTGTTCCAGGAAGACCAGGTTCCACCAAGCGGAGGCAGTGCTACCCGAAAGCAGTTAGTATCGGTTAGAACTGCAGGGCAGGCTGCACTTGCTCCCTGCTGCTTCCCGTCGGAACCCCCGCGGGGCTGGCGTCGCGCAGCACTGGGCTGGGTCCGCCGTGGCTCGTGGCTCGTGGCTCGTGGCGCACCGCTGCCCAGATCATTCCCTCTGCTTTCACGTGTGCGCTGTGCTCTTTCTGCTTCGGATGCTGCTTCTGTTTCCTCTCGGACGTATCCTTGGGCTCACCCATCAGATCCCACTGAGGAGTGTGTTCCATTCACAGAGAGACTGTTTGTTTTATTCATTTGGTGGTATGAGTCTTGGCTTTGCTTACGACTGGAGCCAGGACAGAACAGGATTCCTGTGATAAAATGCATGAGGGAAAGGCACGCTCTCGAGGTGACGGGGGCACTGGAGGGGAGGCGTGTGAGTGTCAGGGTCATCGTGTGCGCTGCAGAGCCAGCTACTTCCGCCCCGTGAGCCTGGCCGATCTCCGGCCACCAGGCAGGACCACGCGCAGAAGCGTGTCTGATCTGACTCCTCATTAGAGCCTGCTTGGCTGCACTAGGGATTTCTCAAATACTTGTTGGAAAGACACCAAACAAAAGGGAAATTTTGCTGTGTACCTTTGTTTTTATAGTTTCAGTTACTTTTTACTTTTCAAAAATTCTTACAAAGCTGAGCGTTTTCAAGATTCAAAATCACGCCGAGTTCCAGAGGTCAGGAATGCTCCCTGTTTTCCTGCTGGACTAGTTCCACAGGACAGCATCGCTCAGAGAGGGGTTCCGAGGGCCACAGTGCTTCCTGGTCCTTCTTCAGAGACGGTGCCTTGTGTGTTGTCTGATTGACTCGCTGTAACTGCCTCCTGGCCTGCACGTCTCTGCCTTTGGACTGCAGTGGCAGTTGCTTGTCATCGAGTCTCAGAAACTGCAGTTACGTTCGTACTGAAAGCTGTGCACCATCTGAGAGTAATTTAGCTTCGGTGCACTCTCATGTTAGCCAAGGTGGCTGTTCCAGATGACGATACTGATTCCTGCTGACCCGAAAATATGCTCTTCTAGTACCTGGGGATAAAAATCAAAGCGTGCACACACACACACCAGTCTGTGTGTGTTTTATATTTAAAGAAATGAATGTGTATATGTTTATACGCATTTATACATAGAAAACTGCTTACAAGTTTGTACAGGATATCAAAATGTTAATAAAGGTTATCTTTGGCAATAGGAATATATGGAATTTAAAAAATTTTGCTGTTTATTTTGATACTCTACAAGGAGTAAATACTTACAACACCTAAAGGAAAAAAGAGTTTTTAAAAAGAGATTTATTTATTTATTTATTTGAAAGAGAGGGAGATACAAGAGAGATCTTCATCTGCTGGTTCACTCCACAGATGACCACAACAGCTGGGGCTGGACCAGGCCAAGACCAGAATCCAGGAGCCAACAGCTTCTTTCGGACCTCACCCACATGGGTCGCAGGGGCCCAGACACTTGGGCCACCTTCTGCTGCTTTTCCCAGACAGATTAGCAGGAAGCTGGATCAGAAGTGGGACAGCCGGGACTCAAACTGGTGCCCATATGGGATACCGACACCACAGGCGGCAGCTTAACTCACCTAGCCACAATGCCAAGCCCAAGAAAATATTTTTCTAGTCAGAAGAAATAGATCAAATGAGTAGTACTTTTTATTGAAGACCTGCCGTGTTTGATGGTTTTCTAAAATGTTGGTGTTAGCCGTACAGTCAGCAGCGCATTGTAACATAGTGCACCTGGGCCACCATGCTGCCACGTCCTCAGACATACTCACTTCCCCAGAAGAGTTAAGCAGTTAGGGGGTCTGTCAGCTTTTAGTAAGGCTAGGAATACATTTGTTTTCTTACCAACATCTGGAAAATAAGTAAGTAAACTTGCACATGATGCATAATCTGTCTTTCCAATTTTAGATTCCAGAATGTTTGAGGGATAGTTATCCCAAACCCGATCAGCCCTGCTACCTATATGTGATAGGAATGGTTTTAACTACCCCTTTACCTGATGAGCTGAACTTCAGACGGCGCAAGCTCTATCCCCCTGAAGATACCACAAGATGCTTTGGGATACTGACAGCCAAACCCATACCTCAGGTGAGCGCTCAGTAATGACTCTGCATGTGGAAAAAAGCGTGTTCTTAAAAAATCTGTAGGGGCTGGGATAAAGAAAACTAGTAGTCAGCGTGTGTTGTTACCTCGGTATTTTGTTACCTCAGCATGTTAGAGTATCTGAAGCTGAAGGCAGGGCAGGCGTTGCGGGGTGGGTAAACCTCTGTTTGGAACACTCGCGTCCCGCGTTGCGCCCAGGATTGAGTCCTGACGGCTCCCTGCTAACGTGCGTCCTGGGGAACAGCAGAGGGTGACCCAAGTATTTGGGTCCCTGCCGCCTGCATGAGAGATCTGGGTGGAGTTCAGGGCTCCTAGCTTGGGCCTAGCCCAGCCCTGGCTGTTGCGGGCCTTTGGGGAGTGAACCAGTGGATGGAAGATACCTCTCTCTCTCTGTTTTTCCACCTTTCAAAGAAGAGTTCACTCAGCACTTCTGTCCCCAGACAGAAAGCTGCTTCCCTCCTGAAGTCGCCGTGCCGGGGGAAGGGCCTGCTCACTCTGGGGTGCTTTGTTTCCCTTTTGTAAGATTCCACACTTCCCCGTGTACACGCGCTCTGGAGAAGTCACCATATCCATCGAGCTGAAGAAGTCTGGCTTCACGTTGTCTCTGCAAATGCTTGAGTTGATCACACGGCTGCACCAGTATATTTTCTCACATATCCTTCGGCTTGAGAAACCCGCGCTAGAATTCAAGCCTACAGACGCCGATTCAGCCTACTGTGTCCTACCTCTGAATGTCGGTAAGGAGGCCCTGGGCAGATAGCGGTGAGAAACTGGAAGTGTGGTTTGGCAATGAGCTTGCTGTGGGTGCTTCAGAATCTCTTACTTCGACAACTGGCTTAGACACATGTGAGTGTGTAGTTTAAATGAGAATCTCGTTTCTGCGTAGATTTTAACAAGCTAAATTGTCTTTTTCTCATCCAAGTTAATGACTCCCGCACTTTGGATATTGACTTTAAATTCATGGAAGATATTGAGAAATCTGAAGCTCGCATAGGCATTCCCAGTACAAAGTATTCAAAAGAAGCACCCTTTGTTTTTAAATTAGAAGATTACCAAGATGCAGTTATCATTCCAAGGTAGGAATCTGAAAGAAGGGAAAACAGTGGGGACGCTTGGTTGGAGAGGATGCACTTCTCACTTGGGAGTATCAGTGGGCTGTGGTTTCCGCACTGTTAGCTGCTGTTGGAAAGGTTGGGGCTCCCTCCCTGCGGAGCCTGGGCTCTCTGTGTCCTTGTTTCAAAGAGAAGGCATGGGAACTGTGGGTAAAGAGATGTTGCTTTGTGACGGTCAGGTCGTTGAGTGATCCTGCTGGCTTGCTTACAGTGTCCGTCCTCTGAACTCCCAAAGCCTGCTGTGGAATTTGGTCATAGTAATCTTCATTGCTTCAAATTCTGCAAGGAAAAATGTTATTAAATTCAATGAAGATAGTAAATAGGAATGCTTTTTTTCTTTCTCAATTTGTAAACATTTAGGAATGGAGTTATTGGGAGGTAAAATGCAGGAACTTTTCATGGAATTAGAGTATTGGCTGTAATCAGTCCTCCTTTGACTTTTTCTGGGCACTGTTATCGGTAGTGTATCCATACAGCAGTACACTGCATGATAACAGTCTTTCGTGTACAGCGTTACTCATGTTCAGAGATTTTTATTCAGTTGTTTGGGTATTGTAAGTTTTCTGTACTGTTCTATACGGCGTGGTAGTATTTAAATGCTCCATTTAGCTTTTGTGTATTATCAGAGTATAGACACTTAGGACAGACGTAGTAGGGGAGAATAGTTCTTCCTTGATTGAAAACTGCAGTTATTATCTTAAATATACTTGAGATGCATAGTTTAGGATGGAATCTTCACTAGTGTTCTTAACCTTTTAACTCTCAATCCTGATTAGTGTTTCCAGAGTAAGAACAGTTGGGTTTGCAGAAAAGTTGATGTAAACCAAAAGCAACTGATTGTCTTTCTTTTTCAGATACCGCAACTTTGATCAACCTCATCGATTTTATGTAGCTGATGTGTACACTGACCTTACCCCTCTCAGTAAATTTCCTTCCCCTGAGTATGAAACTTTTGCAGAATATTACAAAACAAAGTACAACCTTGACCTGACCAATCTCAACCAGCCCCTGCTGGATGTGGACCACACATCTTCACGGTAAGGCTCCGGTGTGTGTGAGAGCCTCAGAGGCCTGCACACACGCCCAGCGGGGCCCTGGAGTCGGGAGAGCCCCTGAGCCCGGGGTCCTGTGAGCTCCCCAGGGGGATTTGGAGGCCACGCAGGTTGGAGAGCCGCTGGAAGAGTGGGCTTATTCTCGTCTGTCTGATGGAGCTGTTTTGAAATCTCGTAGACTCAATCTTTTGACGCCTCGACATTTGAACCAGAAGGGGAAAGCTCTTCCTCTGAGCAGCGCTGAGAAGAGGAAAGCCAAGTGGGAGAGTCTGCAGAACAAGCAGGTACGAACTGGCCGCCTCGACTGGCCGCCTCGCCCCTCCTGGAGACAAGCTCGAGCTCACGTGCCAGCTCGCCTGAACGCCTGGGAGGCCTGGGAGTTGCCCGTCCTGTGTCCGTGGGAGGCCTGGGAGTTGCCCATCATGTGTCCGTGGGAGGCCTGGGAGTTGCCCGTCATGTGTCCGTGGGAGGCCTGGGAGTTGCCCGTCATGTGTCCGTGGGAGGCCTGGGAGTTGCCCGTCCTGCAGGTTTAGGTCTTGTTTCGTTTGATCAGTTATGTGTTGGATTTTACTTGAATGTCGTTTTTGGCATGGACTGAGAGTTTGGCTTTTAGACTTGGCCCGCTGATATAATTATATCACGTGATCATCCTTGTAAGTCCTAGAATAGATCCCATTTATGAGTTTTAGCTTTGCCCACTAGGGAAATTGCTTTTAGTGTTCTTGTTTTCATTCGTGTGCGTGTGTGTGTGTGCGTGTGTGTGTGCGTGCGTGTGCATTGCGTGCGCATGTGTGTACGTGTGGTGCGTGTGCGTGTGTGTGTGTGCGTGTGTGTGTGTGCGCGTGTGCATATGTGCGTGTGCGTGTGTGTGTGTGCGTGCATGTGTGTGTGTAGCATTTCTCTGTTCACCTTTTCCTTGCCCGAAGATCCTGGTCCCGGAGCTCTGTGCTATCCACCCCATCCCTGCATCGCTGTGGAGAAAAGCAGTTTGTCTCCCCAGCATTCTCTATCGCCTTCACTGCCTTTTGACTGCAGAGGAGCTCCGAGCGCAGACAGCCAGTGATGCTGGCGTGGGGGTCCGAGCGCTTCCTGCGGACTTCAGGTAGGTTTGCCTGTGCGCCAGAAAGAATGTGGGTTTTGAACTGCTGTGTGTGACCGAATAGGATCATGTTAAAATTTTGATTTTATATAAAGTAATGCTTCAAAGATTAAGAAGAGAGTGTGTTTGTCTAGTACATGAAATAAAGGCATCCTTTGAATCCTAAGTGAGAAGTCTGTTTTGGGTCACTGGGCCCTGTGTTCTTGGCCAATAAGAGAGAACTGAGCCTCTGCACTCAGAGATTGTCCTCCTTCCTCTGGGGCGTGGCTGGAGCAAGGCTCACACAGCCCTGGCTCCCTGGCCGGCACTGTAAGAATGCTTTCTTCTCTTTGGGAAAAACAAGTACATCTTAACAAGCTGTTGCTTCAGCATTTTGTCTGTCTTCGTTATTTTCTTCTTGTTGGTAAAGTGTCTGCCTGCTTAAAAAAAACTGGAATTTAGTCACTCGCTAATGCTGTTCAGCCAGTTGGCAGCGCTGGGTGATTTTGCGGATTGCAGGAACGGTAATCACAGCTGTGTTGAGAACTCAGCGTGGTGTCAGACACCGCATAACTGCTGCAGCCTACACGACCGCGGGGAGTCCATGCAGAATAGAATTGAAACCTGAGCTTATTGTGATGCAAAAAAAATTTGGAATCCATGCATAGTTTTTTCTTTTCCTTTTAGTATCTATATATTTAAAAGGCAGGCAAATAGAGAGGGAGAAGGAGAGACAGGGAGATCTTCAAGTGGCTGCAGTGGGCCAGCCAAAGCCGGACACCAGGAGCTCCAGTAGGTGGCAGGGCCAAGTACTCGGGTCATCTGCCGTTGCTTTCCCAGACGCTTTAGCTGGATCAGAACAGAGCAGCCAGGCCTCGAACCGGCACCCTAATATGCTGCCGCCACAGCTGTGGCTTAACTTGCTGCGCCACCACACGAGTGCCTGTGCGTGATGTTTTCATGATATACACGATTGTCGTGAACTTTTTGAAGGCCCTCACCCCCGCTCATATGCATGGACTTTAAAATTTTTTGTGCCAAAATTTACCCTTCAATTCTGTTTTCCATGGACTTTTGGAAGTATGCTTAAATTTGCTTGTTTAACTGTTAGGATAGTGCTGTAAGGCCAGAATTGGGTTAGCCCCATTTTCCATGCAGAAAGTAACACAGGAAGATTACGCAGGCTGTGGTGCAGCCTGTGTTAGCTGCCGCTTGCCGTGCTGCGCAGTTAACTGAGGGCCCGAGCGTCCAGGCTGTGCAGTGTGTGGCCCCAGGTGCTGCAGGCTGCCTCCAGCCTCTTGTTCTTAACTGCCTGCCGTGTTCCTGGGCAAGGGGTCACAGCAGCGGGGAGCCACGTCCCTCTTTGTAATTTACGTTGCACAGAACTTCTTGCTTGAAAACTGATTTTGCTTCCGAAGTATGCGTATATGTATCGGGATCTTCATTTTATTTTATTTTGTTTCAAATTACCTACTGCTCTGAGCCTCGCCCTTTTGAAAGATCTAATGAAAAGTTGTAAAAATACCTTTCCAGATACCCTAACTTGGACTTCGGGTGGAAAAAATCTATCGACAGCAAATCCTTCATCTCAGTCTCTGGCCCCTCCTCAGCGGGCGGTGAGCTTCACTGTAAGCACAGCACAGTGGCAGGCCCTGAAAATGCTGCGCAGCAAGGTGCTACCCGAACCTCTTCTCCAGCAAACCACGACCAGGTGTCTGTGGGCTGCAGAACGCCACTCGCGGGGGCCCCGGGCAGGCCCCAGAGGGAGGGCCCGGCCGGCCCGGCGGCAGCCAATGGTCTCTCCCACAGTCGGAGTCTTGCCAACGGCAGTTACGAGTTCGCTGACAGAGACTTTTGCCAAGGACATCAGCTGAATTACTACAAGCAGGAAATACCTGTACAACCAACTACCTCATATCCCATTCAGAATTTACAGAGTCATGAGAACCAGCCCAAGCCCAGCGATGAATGTACCCTACTGAGTCGTAAATACCTTGACGGAAATGCTAACAGATCTACCTCAGCTGGAAGTCCCACAGCGGCCGCCACGCCCGGTACGACGGACACGGTCAGGGCCCTCCAGGGCAGCACGGATTCCGAGCAGAGCCCTTCTGTCGGCTACTCCTCAAAAACTCTCGGCCCCAACCCTGGACTGATTCTCCAGGCTTTGACTCTGTCCAATGCTAGTGATGGGTTTAACCTGGAGCGGCTCGAGATGCTCGGGGACTCCTTTCTGAAGCACGCCATCACCACCTATCTCTTTTGCACTTACCCCGATGCTCACGAGGGCCGCCTTTCCTATATGAGAAGCAAAAAGGTGAGAGAAGGGTTCTTGTCGTGCGCGGGCAGTGGGCCAGCGTGCCGGAAAGCAGTTGGAGGAGGTGGGAAGGCGGTGCTTGCAGAGAATGGCGCGGTGGACCCATCCACCTGGAAGGGACGGGAACCCACTCTACACGGGCTGTTCTCAGGGTGGGGGCTCAGCTGGTCGGCGTGTGCCCTATGCATCGGGGGACATTCACCTCCAGCCACGCTGTCGGTGCGAGTTTGTGCCCCTTCCAGCTCCTGACCACGCTGTACAGAAATAGGCAGTGCTGTCATTCAGAGAGCTGGTCCTGTGCGGAGCTGGGTTGGACTTCTGTGTGTAGGAGGGCGCTGTCGGGCTTCCCAGATGTGCAAACGTGGATGAGAGGCACGGTCCCTGGGGAGTCGGAAGGCTGAGTAACAGACCTCCCAGCTCGGTTCCTCTGCAGTGTAGACAGTGACACTCGGCTTCTGAGTGAGTAATTGCCTGATAGCCCCAAGGAGAGGTAATGCTGCCTCCGAGAGAGGGAGAGACAGATATTCCACCCACTGGCTTACGCCCCAAATAGCCACAGTGAGTGGGGCTGGGCCAGGCCTATGCCAGGAGCCAGGAGCTTCTTCCGGGTCTCCCATGTGGGTGCAGGGGCCCAAGGACTTGGATCAGCGCCTGCTTTCCCAGGTGCATTAGCAGGGAGCTGGATTGGAAGTAGAGCAGCCGCACAGGCATACGCTCCTGCGTAACCTCTTACCCACATGGTGGGCCTCTGCCTTCTTCAGCTTAGCATAGAATCCAGACTTGAGCAGAGGGGCCGGCACTGCGGGGTAGTGCAGCACTGGCATCCCACGTGGGCCCTGGTTTGTGTCCAGCTGTACCACTGCCAATCCAGCCTTCTGCTATGGCCTGGGCAAACAGTAGAAGATGGCCCAAGTGCTTAGACCCCGGCACCCATGTGGGAGACAAAAAAAGCTCCTGGCTTCAGAGCGGCACAGCTCTGGCCATTGCAGCTGTTTGGAGAGTGAACCAGCAGATGGAAGACCTTTCTTTCTGTCTCCTCCTCTCTCTGTTTGTAACTCTGCCTCTCAAATAAATAAAGAAATCTTAAAAGACTTAAGGAAGAAAAGTAATTAGTGCAAAATGTTTACCTGGTGACAGAGGCAGGTCTCTAGGCAGTGCAGCCTCCTTGATATCAGCTTAGGGAACTGCTTATCTTGAGCACTGGAAGGAGGGAGCAGCACTTGCAAATCAAGGGGGCGTAGATAAGCAAAGTGAACAGGAGGCAGAGCTGCCGGGGCTCAGTGCAAAGGCAGGGCCTGGAGTGCTAGGCTGAGGAGGTTGCAAGTTATCTTGAATACTAGGGTACTCTTGAAAGACTCTGGAGCTAGGGTCCGGCATTGGGATGCAGCCTGTTAAACTGCTGCTTGCAGTGTCGCGTCCCAGTCAGAGTTCCTGTTGGGGTCCTGGCTGCTCTGCTTTCCTTCCAGCTCCCTGCTAATGTGTCTGGGAAGGCAGCAGGTGGTGGCCCAAATACCTGGGCTCCTGCCACCCAGGTGAAAGACCTGGATGGAGTTCCTGGCTTCAGCCTGGCCCCGGGCTATTTCGGCTATTTGGGGAATCAGCCAATGAATGGATGAGATCTCTCTCTCTCTCTTACTCTGCCTTTCAAATAAATAAATCTTAAAACAAACAAAAAATGGTTACCTGGAAGTAGAATGTAGTGTGGATTGGAAAGCAAGACCATTCCAAAAGTGGAGGCAGAAAATGGGGTGGAACTAAAGTGGAGGCTGTGGGGGAGGGGGGCTGCGCTGAGTAGCAGTTTCAGGAGTGGTAATTTGGGGTAACATAAAACAAGGTAGCTACCCTGCCAGGCACTAACTGCTGTTGTCTTTTATGTACTTGTATATTATCTAATTTAATTCTCATAATTCCATAAGGTTTGCAAACACTTATATGATCCCTGTTTTAATTTTTCCACTCTTGAAAAAATCATTTATTTAAGGGCTTGCAGTGGCCCAGTTGGAGCCACAGCCAGGAGCCCTGAGCTCAGTCCAGGTTTCCCCCATGGGCAGCAGGAGCCCAGTCTCGAGCCAGCACCTCTGCTTCCCAGGATGAAACCCAGGTACTCTCTTCTGGGACAAGAGTGTGCCGATCGCTAGGGCAAGTGCCCACCTTATCCCCGTTTTATAGATGAGGACAATGAGGAAGCCGAGTTTAGCATGCCCAAGGTCACATCCAAATAAGGGTGACAGTTCTGGGGTGCAGCTCAGATGATGCGGCTTGGGAAACCTTGGTCTCCACCATCATAGCAGCCCGCGTCTTGTCCTGCCCCATGACCCCAGGCCTGCAGTGAGCATGTCGCCTGCACACGCTCGTGCAGGGTGAGGCGGGGGGGATGGTCGGGAGCCACAGATGCTGAGAAGTTGGGTGCAGGGCCCAGGGCAGAAATGTGAGAGGTGGGTGTGGGGCTGAGGTTTGCCCCTCCTGGGCCGCCCTGGGCAGTGTTCAGTGACATGTTCAGGGTACTGGGAACCTAGTACTTTGCAGTGGTTTGAGGAGTCTTTTCCAGGAAAGTGAGGACAGAAGCTTTGAGAGTGAATGGGACTCACGGGGCGATTGCAGGAAGCTGTATCCAAGGCTGAGAATGGGAACGAGTAAACCCGTTAGAGAAGGAGAGGATCGTGGTTTACAGAACCTCCTTCACCTTCTCAGAACCCTTGTGACTGCTGACTTCCAGCGGGGGAACTCTCCCTCCCTCCTCAGCCTGGTGTCGAGGCCTTGTTAGCATGCTCTCCCCACGGGCCAAGCCCCGTGCTGCTGGCCTGGCGGGCCCTGCTCAGCCCACCCTCCGTGCGGGGGCTGAGGCTGCTAATTCTCTCAGAGCGCTCTCCCTCCTTTGCCTGGGCGCCTGTCTGTGCAGAATTTTGCCTCTTATCGGAGTGCCTGGTTCTCTCTTCTCCATGCACAAGTACTCGGTAGGCCCCGCTGATGTCAGATGAGCGTATTGAGGGTAGCGTCTGCAGTTTGCGATTTCCGTCCCCCGAGTCCCTGTTGCACGTGCCCTCTTCCTGGCCTTTGAGATACTTTGTTCTCCTAGTACCCAGCTCCCCCTGCAAGCTGTCAGGCTGCTACGGTCAAGCTGTGTCGGAGAGCCCTTTTGCACCGGTGACTGTCCTGTGTGCAGCTGGCAGGGGCCGCTCCTCCCCCTACTGACCTGTGCCTTCGGGGCTGGCTGGCAGCCAAGTCGCACGGGGAAAGGGCTCACGAAGAACTTATGCACGGAGCACCGGTTTTTAGAAAATGACCGTGAGGCTGGCAGTTCTAAACTCTCGTTTTCAATTTAGAAGCTAGACTAATGATTTGAGCAAATTAGGGAGGAGATCGAGGTGTTTGGCAAAGCAGTAACTAGAGCTGTTGGGTTGGTGTGACTAAGCGGTTCTTTGTTACTTGGCTCCGTTTTGAAATGACTGAACCAAAATGCCTTCCAGTGCCATCCAGAGCAGGGGAGTAGCATTTGAGAGGACGTTGCCACTGACATCGCATCTGTGGCCTGGATCTGAGGACTATAACATGGTTTTAGCTGTTTGGTGCTAACAGATGTTCACTCCTCCTCACCCCTTGGCTCTCAGAGAACCGTGTTGTGACACCTTGGTTGTTTAATATGGTTTCTATTCCCTAGAGTCCCAATTAGCATTTTGCATTTTACGTTATGAGATTGTAATTTCAAAACTTTGCAACTGTCTCAACTGTTTCTTCTGATACAGTCAGAAGGAATCTATGCATAAGTGCTCTGCATTTTGTGTTCAGGAATACGTAACTACATTCCGGCATGTGGAGTGGGAATTTAACATTCATTGTCATGAAGGTAGAAAAACTGTACAGCCCTTAGAGCTGGTGACCGGTTCCGGCGTGAGGAAGTCTGTTCAGCTGAGGATGTGTGTGCCTGCGTGGATTCCTACCATGCTCGTTTGGGGCTGAGTCTCACACAGGTCTTCTCTGCCTAAGGTCAGCAACTGTAACCTGTACCGCCTCGGGAAGAAGCAGGGGCTGCCCAGCCGCATGGTGGTGTCCATCTTTGACCCCCCCGTGAACTGGCTTCCTCCCGGCTACGTGGTAAATCAAGACAAAAGTAACACAGATAAATGGGACAAAGATGAAATGGTAAGTGGTTGGTCACCGGAGAGATTTGTTTTTTGATGAGCCAGAGGATTTTGTTCTGTTTTTCATTTTCTTTCCCTGATATTATTTTAAGAGTTGATATTTGATATATGAATTCCTTTAAATAGACTGTCTTTTCATTGGATCAGAAGTAGTGTTTTAATTCTGATGAAGGATGATTGCTATTTTCATTCCTTTTCCAAAAGCAGAATATGTAATGTTTGACTAAAAAAGGGGGGGGAGGAGAAACCCCTTACTGTTTCACACCACTGTTATATATGACAGTGTTATATGTCGCAGAGTTAACGTGTTACAGGGATACACGTCACAGAGATAATGTGTTACAGAGGTGACGTGTTACAAGGTGATGTGTTACAGGGTTAACGTGTTGCAGGGTTAATGTGTTATAGGGTTATGTATTACAGGGTTAACGTGTTATAAGGTTAACATGTTACAGTTACATTTTGCAGGGTTACATGTTACAGGATTAACCTGTTACAGGGTTAACCTGTTACAGTTACGTGTTACAGGGTTATATGTTACAGGGTTATATGTTACAGTGTTATGTGTTACAGGGTTATATGTTACAAGGTTAACATGCTATAGTGTTACATGTTACAGGGTTACTTGTTATAGGGTTAACGTGTTACAGGATTAGCATGTTACAAAGTTACATATTACAGGGTTACTATATTACAGGGTTAACATGCTACAGTGTTACATGTTACAGAGTTAATGTGTTACAGGGTTACATGTTACAGAGTTAATGTGTTACATGGTTACATGTTACAGGGCTAATGTGTTACAGGGTTACATGTTACAGGATTAACATGTTACAGAGTTACATATTACAGGGTTACTATATTACAGGGTTAACATGCTACAGCGTTACATGTTACAGAGTTAATGTGTTACAGGGTTACATGTTACAGGGCTAATGTGTTACAGGGTTATATGTTACAGGGTTAACGTGCTACAGTGTTACATGTTACGGGATTAACATGTTACAGAGTTACATGTTACAGGGCTGCATAAACAGTATTAAAGTTCACAGGGTCACATATCACAGTGTGGACTGGGATCTGTTTAGAGAAATGACTTTTGTGACTGAAGATCTCCAGGCTGTCTGTGAAATCACTGATTTCAATAAAATCTTGCTCTTAACGTCTCAGGATTTCCTTGGCACTATTTTTCCTCTTGTGAACTTAAAGCCATCGTACTTACAACTTGGCATTTTCTGGAAATAATGTAAATCTTGCAGTGACTTACAGTGACTTACTTGCAGTGACTCCGAATGCTAGCAACAGCTGCTTCGTCTTGTCTCAAGGCCACCAGAGGGCACCTTGCAGGGCCTGGGCTGGGGAAGCAGTCGGTCCAGCGCTGCGGTCTTTGGGGCAGTGCGGGTTCCCCGTTGGGGACGGTTCATTGTCACCTGGTCGGCGGAGGCCAGAGCTGGTAGTGGTAGTGTCTGCCCAGAAAGTTACCGGCTTTGGGCGCGCCTTCTCCCTGCCTTGTCCCCTCTGCGGCTCTCTAGCGAGTGCCACCTGTTCAGTGATGAAACTTTTTAAACTCATGTAGTGTTTCCTTATGACAGAAGGGGGCTTTTCTGGAAAAGCCTTAAGAGAATAATTTAATGCAAGTTAGGTCAGACAAATTACATTTGTTGTTAATTTAGAAATGTGTAGAGCCTTAAGGAAAATGTGTGGAGTTTGAGCTTCAGAAGAAGCACTCCATTTCTATGAAAAACGTTCCAAGAATAGTCATCCTTTTTTTGTAAAGTGTTTCATAATCTGCTTGGCTCTTTTTTAAAAATTGTAGTGTAAAGGTGACCATGTTGTTTGATTTTTTTTTTTTTTTAAGATAGAATACCAAGTGCATATTTTCTCTAACCTTTCTGACATCTTGGCACTTAGGTTCTTGGGATACGTTAAAAATACTGCTTAGGTTTTCATTTAATAATCTGTGTTTATGAAATAGGCCCTTGCATTGTGCAGGAAGACAGCAAGGTTGTGCTGTCTGTCACGTGTTTTTCCTGTGCCTGCGTGCCTCCTGGGACGGTGCAGGGCGACTTGCTCTCTTGATCAGTCCTGGCACGCTCTCGGGAAGTGTTCTGTGAGGTGGCACCGACTAAGGCGCGGCGGGCAGACGTGGAGCCAGAGGCACTGCAGTCCCCTGCCCCTGCCCCTGCCGCTCATTTGTGAGTGCAGAAGCCAGTCCTTTAGGGTTTGTGCTCTGCCAGTTTTAGTTCATGGCAGCACCTTGCTCAGGAGATGAACTTTTTTTTAATTGTTCCATCTGATTTTAAATTGCATTTTGACCGCTTTTTTCTTAGGAACCAAACAGTAGTCAAAAACATCACTTGTTACCTTGGAAAAGTCTAAGGTTTTTAACAGAAATGTTTCCTTGGGGTCTAACATTATAATTTCTTTGGTGTGCTTCCTTATTCTGGAAAAGGCTTTTTTTAGCTTAAAAGAATGAAAGATACATGCTGACAGATATAGGCTTGCTGCGCGGCTGTTATTTCTTTTCGAACAAATAACAGTGTTTATATCTCTCTTGATTTGAGTATTTAAAAAATGCTAAACAGTTTGAAAACTTTTTGTCATAATACTCTGGAAAGTTGTCACACTCAAAATCAAAACATGCCCTCTTGCCTTTCCCTACAAAGTTTTGTTCTGTTTTGTTGTTTTTGCTGTTATTGTTATTGCATCTTTCTAGCATTGCAAACAAGTTACATCATTACTAAATCCAGCCCATTATTAAGGTTGTCATTCACAAATAAGCTTTAGCCAAAGAAATGGGGATTAGCAAAGAGCTTTCGACAGCACTTGGATTGTTGTTTCATGTTAGCCTACATTTTCTTCTATTTTTGTCAGTTATGCTGTAATCTCTACCCGGATTCCAGGAACTCAGAGTGGAGGGGAAAGGCATATAATTTCTTGTATTCATAGCTTAGTTCAGTGATTTGCTTTTATTTTTTAAGCAAAGCGATTTAGTTTTGTGTTGTAGCTAATGTACTTTGAGCTGGGTGAAAAACTGTATTTAAAAACCCTATTGTACATTTTTAGAGTGATTAGAATTTTTAAATAATTTTATCTGTTTTTATGTTGTACTCTTAATTGCAAAGATAACGCTTTATCTACATCTGGAATGTCCCAGTCTTTAAGAATCTTGCAGAGACAGAGACGCATTGGAACCGCATGGGAGTGCTTGCACTGTGCATCCTGCCGGGGGCGACTGCCTCGGGCACGTTTTGTGCTGGGACATAGAGTTTTAACTTTATTTCCATGTTCAGAACCCTTAACTTAAAGCTTCGTTCTGGATAAAGGTCATTTTATAACTTAGAAAACGAGCATTCAAAGAACTTGTTTTACTTTGTTTATATGATTAAATAACTTATTTTATGTTAATTGAAAACAAATGGCCGTGATTTTAAAGTTGCCTTTTAGTATTTGTGGTTGTCATTTGAAATTATCCATAACCCTTGCTTTTATTGAGTTTCAAACCCTTTTAAAAACAGCAGCTATGTCTCCCTCCTTCCCATTCCCCTCGTTTCAGACAAAAGACTGCGTGTTGGCTAATGGCAAACTGGACGAGGACTGCGAGGAGGAGGAGGAGGAGGAGGAGGAGGAAGAGGAGGAGGAGAACTTGGTGTGGAGGGCTCCGAAGGAGGACGCGGATTACGAGGACGATTTCCTGGAGTACGATCAGGAGCACATCAAGTTTATAGATAACATGCTGATGGGATCAGGAGCTTTTGTGAAGAAAATTTCTCTTTCTCCTTTTTCCACCGCTGACTCTGCGTACGAATGGAAAATGCCCAGGAAGCCCTCCTCAGGCAGCAGGCCGTTCTCCTCGGACTTCGAGGATTTTGACTACAGCTCTTGGGATGCCATGTGCTACCTGGATCCTAGCAAAGCTGTCGAAGAGGACGACTTTGTGGTGGGCTTCTGGAATCCGTCGGAAGAAAACTGTGGTGCTGACACGGGGAAGCAGTCCATTTCCTACGACTTGCACACCGAGCAGTGCATCGCCGACAAAAGCATCGCGGACTGCGTGGAAGCCCTGCTGGGCTGCTACTTAACCAGCTGTGGCGAGAGGGCGGCTCAGCTCTTCCTGTGCTCGCTGGGGCTGAAGGTGCTCCCGGTCATTAAAAGGGCCGACCGGGAGAAGGCCACGGGCCCCGCTCGGGAGAACCTCAACAGCCAACACAGGCAGCTGCCCGGGAGCGGCGCCACAGCCGCAGGAGCCAGCTCCCGGGGCCCCTCGGCGTCGAGAGACCTGGAGTACGGCTGTCTGAAGATCCCGCCGAGATGCATGTTTGACCATCCAGATGCAGATAAAACGCTGACTCACCTTATATCGGGTTTCGAGAATTTCGAAAAGAAAATCAACTACAGATTCCAGAATAAGGCTTACCTGCTGCAGGCTTTTACACACGCCTCCTACCACTACAACACCATCACTGGTAAGGAGCCGCAGGGCCGCCCGGGGCCCCTGAGAGCGCAGGGTTTAGCCCTGGTAGAGAAGGGTCTGTGCGCAGTCGTGGTGCGTGGTGGGCACGGTGTGGGAGGCAGCAGGAGATGGAACACTCTGTCTGTCTCGTCTCCGGGGAGCCAGCGTTGTTCCCGACCCTCCACTTGGAGCACGGTCGCCTCTCGTGCTGCGCTGGACATCGTTAGAGGGATTTGCGCCCGGAGCGTCGGGGTGCTCTTCCCGTGCTGATCGTATTCAGTGCTGCTTGTGGGGCTTGACTGACTTGTCGTCTGGGTGTATCTGCACATCCTCTGTTCTCCCTGGAGTCCTCACATCTAAAGATGGCTAGATTAAAGGGAGCTCGCCCAGGAACGCTTCGTCGCTCCCGGTCCGGCTGCTTTACCTTCCACTCCTCCCTGTGATCTGGTTTTCTTCCTCTTTTATTGAACAGCCTCCCAGTCCATTAGCGCAGGAGGGAGAGTGCGTTCTTAAAGCCAAAAGCTAAAGTTTATATTTTGTTTTCTGAATCACAGCCGTAAGTGCTTGAATCCGGAATACCAAAGCAAAGTGTCAAGTGTGTATAGTTTGTGTAATAAGATGTTCTGCAAAGTGCAAACCCAGAAAGTGAGAAGCCGGCTGTTTTCTGGCTGAGAAGGACTGATGGGACGGAATCTTGCTTTTCTTTCTGGAGAACAAATGATGCTGGGTCTCACTTCTCAGCTGTGCCTCTGAGCTCGCTGGGCACACAGGGCACCTGCCTCCCTCTGTCCTGAGCTCGCTGGGCACCAGGGCACCTGCCTCCCTCTGTCCTGAGCTCGCTGGGTACCAGGGCACCTCCCTCCCTCTGTCCTGAGCTCGCTGGGCACACAGGGCACCTGCCTCCCTCTGTCCTGAGCTCGCTGGGCACACAGGGCACCTGCCTCCCTCTGTCCTGAGCTCGGTGGGTACCAGGGCACCTCCCTCCCTCTGTCCTGAGCTCGCTGGGTACCAGGGCACCTGCCTCCCTCTGTCCTTGCCTCAGTTCCTCAACTGAATGCATTCTTTTCATCGCTGTGAGAAAACAGAGGAGTCGGTGAGCATTGCTCTTTGTCCACATTTTGACAGCCGACATCTGCTCACCCCCGCACTCTTGTCTCTCAGCCTCTTGGTTTGGGTCAAATTCAGCATTTCTTGTGCCAGTTGAGAAGGTCATCCTGTGCGATGCACATAAAGCGGGAGTGGCGTGGCCTGTCACCACTTGCGTGGAGAGGCGTGGTGTGTCACCACTTGCGTGGAGAGGCGTGTCACCACTTGCGTGGAGAGGCGTGGCGTGTCACCACTTGCGTGGAGAGGCGTGGCCTGTCACCACTTGCGTGGAGAGGCGTGGCGTGTCACCACTTGCGTGGAGAGGCGTGGCGTGTCACCACTTGCGTGGAGAGGTGCTGTGTAGCAGAGCGGAGGGCGTGGGCAGCTCTGGCTCTGCTGCACTGGTGGCTGATGTGCGGTGGAGATGCCCCGCACCTGCCGGGCCTGCGCGGTGCTGCGGGAGCAGGGGTCAGTGAGAGGGCAGCTGCGAGTGGTCCTCCTTTTATTTTCTAATACTTAGCGACTGTTAGTCTTTTGGCCACTTGAGGTTTTATAATCCCACTTTACGTACGAGAAACATGCTTTGCATTGGCGTCTTCTCATTGAGGAATATATGTGAAAATGGTCCTGCGTCAGAATCTCACGCGTGGGCTCAGGGGTCAGACCCTTCTAGGCTGTGGCTGTGCCAAGGGTGGACTGGGGCCCTGCCTTTGACTCCTCTGGTCCTCTCTCAGATTGTTACCAGCGCTTGGAGTTCCTGGGTGACGCGATTCTGGACTACCTCATAACCAAGCACCTTTACGAGGACCCGCGGCAGCACTCCCCGGGGGTCCTCACCGACCTGCGCTCCGCGCTGGTCAACAACACCATCTTCGCGTCGCTGGCCGTAAAGTACGACTACCACAAGTACTTCAAAGCGGTGTCCCCCGAGCTCTTCCACGTCATCGATGACTTCGTGCAGTTCCAGCTGGAGAAGAATGAGATGCAGGGCATGGATTCGGAGGTGAGCGCTGTCTGAAAGCCTGTGGACTCGGTGTCGGCAGCACCGTGCCCTCCAGAGCCTGGCGCGGCGGGGCTGGCTGCCTGTGCCCTGTGCCCGGAGGGCTCCGTCCCAGCCTGCTGTGCGTCCTCTGGGGCGAGCGGTGAGTGAAGTGCGGCTTCCAGGGGCTTTTAACCCAGGCCCTGGGAGCGCTCGGCTGGAGAGGGCGCCGGGGTTTCCAGCTCCCTGCCGTGTCCCAGGCTGTCCTCGGGCTCCAGAGTGTCGCTCAACTCCCCACTCTGGCGGTGAAAGCCCAGTGTGGCTGAAATGGATCCGAAATATTGCTGATGTCTCAGGTGAGCATCACAGATACACATCCTGCTTCTCTTGAAATGGGAAATCTCATTTAAATACCAAACTTCTGGCTTTTTTAACCATTGGAATTTGGGAGGCTTCTGTCCTGAGGTCAGCCAGAGGTTCTTTGCTGATGGAGCGGATTCGGATGTTTCTGGACTGGCTGGGTATTGCTTCGTTGTTTCCAGCCTCTGATGCCCAGGGACGTTCGTCTCATAGCTCTGTCCCAGAGGGCACTGTCACTGCCGACTTGCTCGTTTCTCTGGATTTCTTGTTAGGCGTCCAGGAATTGGTTCTTAATACTGCTAGCCCCTTTAATTGTTTCTTAACTGTACCTTCCTAATTTTTTTAAGTTGTGCCGAGTCAGTGTTCGGGAGTAGTGAATTTCTTTGGCCTTCTGTGAGGAGCAGGAGGGTCTGGGTGTTTGAAGTGCAGCCGGTGCAAAGCGTGAAGGGCTGGCGGCAGCAGGGGCGTGGGCTCGGAGGGCGCCCACGTGCAGCGCCCGCGGCCTGCCGTTCGTCTGGTCTCCTGCTGTAGTAGTCGGAGGAGTCAGCCGAAGTCCACGGGCTCGCCGGCCAGTGAGGCGCCCTGACTCGGCTGGTTCTCTGCCGAATTCCCCTGCCTTTGTGTTCGCTGACACGTGTCCCGCGGGCAGCTCGCTAGCCCGCTGTGAGTCTTTGGGACGCCCCCGCCTCTCTGCGCGGCGCTCCGGGTCAGCTGTGGAGAGGCCTGGCCTCGGCGAGCTCTGCGGCTCCTCCTGCCGAGACCGCGGCCCCGGGAGCAAGTGTCTTGTTTGCCGGTAGTCAGCCTTGTAGACGCACTCCGTGACCTGAGCGCGGCTGAACGGCGCGTAGCCACGAGTCCTTTCTCCTTTTCTCCCTTTCTCGTTACTCCTTTCGCAGATAATTTGCATTTTTGAAAACTACAGATACAAATACAAAATCCAGGTTGCTCCATTGTGCTGCCTCAGGAGTGGCCAGTGATGTTTGAGGACACAGGCGTCTGCTGCCAGACGTCGCTGTGTTGAGTGCAGCGTGGAATTGTGTGATTCACAGACGGGACTGTAACTTCCTTCACTTAATGCATTGTGGGTGACTTTCCATGTAGTGACTGACATTTTTGATTTTCAGTGGCTGCAAGCTAGCCAACGCATGGCTGCTTTTTAAAAAGGTCCTTTACGGCTGGGTAGTGAAGTAGTTTTGGGTTAGAACTGTTAACAAGCATGGTTGTGAGAAACATGCTTATGTGTCTGGTTACCTTCTTAGGTGCATTCCTGGAAGTTGGATTGCTTCACATAAGATTTGGGGACTTTTAAAGGGCTTTTGATTGATTTGAGGACCTACTGTGTGTCACACATTCCATAACAGTGACCGTGTGTTAAGTGGTTTAATGAAAGGGAGCCTGTAGGAAAATATCTTCCAAATTCAATGTCTCTGCCCAGATTTTACATCCCAAGCACTCCGTGCCCAGCAGCACCGCGTCGGTCAGCGGCCGGGGCACGGCCGGCTGGAATGCGCTGTTCTGTGTATTCACGAGTGGATTTCAGGTTTCAGTGTGCACTGACTGACTGTGTCTAGCTCTGTGTTAAATGGTTTTTGTTTTAATTTATAAGTAACCTTTGGGGATTTTTCTTTTTTAGAGAGAACACTTGAGAAGAGCCGATGCGGCATAGCAGGCGGTCCATAGCTGATTGGCATGGTTACCTTTGGGGAGTAATGACAGTCAGACCCGAGGAACGCAGCTCAGCCGTGTGGCCACCTGGAAACGTGACTTTTGATTACAAGTCACTTTTCTCTCTGTAACAGCTTAGGAGATCTGAGGAGGATGAAGAGAAAGAGGAGGACATTGAAGTCCCGAAGGCCATGGGGGATATATTTGAGTCGCTGGCCGGGGCCATTTACATGGACAGTGGGATGTCGCTGGAGGTGGTGTGGCAGGTGTACTACCCGATGATGCGGCCTCTCATAGGTACGGCTTCTCTTTCCCCGAGGGGCAGGCTCGGCGCTGACACCACCTCCAGGGTGTCACTCACGTTATTCTTGGGTTCTGATTACAGAAAAGTTTTCTGCAAATGTGCCCCGTTCGCCTGTGCGAGAATTGCTTGAAATGGAACCGGAAACTGCCAAATTTAGGTAAGAATAAAAAGGAGAGAGAGAAATGTGCATGGAAAAAAGCTACCTGACAAGGAGGGAGAACTTCTCAAAAACACCATAAACTAATGCTTTGTTCTGGGGCTCGCTGTCGCGCAGTTTCCGCGCGCAGGGTGCTGGGCTGCTCCTGGCGTGTGATTTGATGGAGCGATGCTGAATGGCAGCTGCACTGGTGGTGCGGCGGTGCGCGCCAGCCGTCCTGCCGACTCCTTGTGTCCTGGCAGCCTGCGCGTGACGCTCGGCCTAAGAGAGCTGCTCACCGCTGGCTGACAGCAGTAACAAATACTCGGACTTGTCGTTCAAGCGGTTTGGCTTTCTTTCCAGCCCGGCTGAGAGAACGTACGACGGGAAGGTCAGAGTGACCGTGGAAGTGGTGGGAAAAGGGAAGTTTAAAGGCGTGGGCCGCAGCTACAGGATCGCCAAGTCGGCCGCCGCGAGACGCGCCCTGCGAAGCCTCAAGGCCAATCAACCTCAGGTTCCCAACAGTGAAGCCCGTTTTTAAAATTCGAAACAAAAAAAAAATTTTTTAAAAATGGAGGGGGGAAATATTTAAATAGGGCGGTATTAAGTTGCTATCGAGTGGAATGAACTGAAGGCAGAATTCACAGTGTGTTTGATAACAGATAGATAACAGAATAAAACATTTAACAAATGTATAAAAACTTTGGAACTAATTGTAGTTTTAGTTTTTTGCGCAAACACAATCTTTTTTCCTCACTTCTGCTTTGTTTAAATCACAAGAGTGCTTTAAAGATGACATTTAGCAAGTGTTCGAGATGATTCCCGACTGTGTATCGTTTGTCTGTTCCTTGAGTTTAGTTCCTGTCGGCTTTGTGCAGCGCTCGAAGGCCCTGTTGCTCACTGCTGTGGCGTCCTCCAGGAGTGCCAGTCCCGCGTGGCTGCTGAGCCCCAAAGCACGGCGCGGTTTGGAGGGGAGCCCGTGAGCCAGGGTCGACTTCTCTGTCCACATTGCGGTGTCGTGGGAGGCCGCCGCCGCCGGTCACTGTGGCACTCCGCGGCAGGGGACTGGGCTGGCGTGTGGTCGGTCACACCTGTGGTTTCTGACGCCCCGTAGTCTTGCATTAAAATAAAACAGAAAGGTTCTTGCCTTAAAAGTAAAACCTTCATGGATATTATTCTTTAATTTCTGATCTTTTTGGAGCAAACTCTTTTACATTCCCTCGTCTTGTTCTGCGTTAGATGTTGAGTCTGTGTGACGCAACTTACCCGTGTAGGTGTGACTTACTACAGGCTTATCCTAGGATTTCTGTCATACGTGTACTGAAGATATTTTAAAAACCAGAATATGTAGTCTGTGGGTTTTCTTTTAACCTCACGATAAAGATGATCTCTGGCTCAACACCCAGTTTTACTGCGAGTCTCGCTAGGTAGTTCCACGGATGGAAATGTTTATGGCAAATAACTTTGCCCTGCAGGCTGTCGCGCTAACAAAACACTTTAGACATATCACACCCAAATATGCTGCAGATTTTATAGCGGATCGGTTATTTGTTTAAGGAAGTGAGACAGCACCTTCCCCCGTCTTCTCACCCCGACTTCTGCCTGTGCCGCGCGGACGCTGCACGCCTCGCACCTCCCCGAGCCCGGCTGTCTGTGCCTGCAGAGCGTCGTGTCCGCGCTCGGCTGCCCCACGTTTGGTACATCTGTGATTTAGGTCGTTGAGTTAGGTCAGCTAGCTCATTGCTTCCATCTTTGGAAAGGAAAAAAACCCTGCATTTTTAGGCATTGGCCTAAGTTTCTTTAATTAGGATTGTAGGCACTCTTCACGGAAATACCTCAGTTCTTTTCTTTTGCATGCGTTTGCCCCGTTTGGTGCTATGTTTATGTATTATGCTTGAAATGTTAATTTTTTTTGCACTGTAACTATAATACCTCTTAATTTACCTTTTTTAAAAGCTGTGGGTCAGTCTTGCGCTCCCGCCAACATCCCAGTAGAGGTTTGCTGCAGTTTGCCTGTTAATTATGCTTGAAGTGTGAGAAAGTGGAGCGGAGCTGTCTCGCATGAGGATTTTCCATCCTGGCTCTGAAGGTGATGCTTCGTGTCCCGCCGCGTAGCGCGCTCCCGGCCCACGGAGAGGCGGGGGTGGTGCGCACAGCTCTGCTCACAAGGGGGCCCTGGGCGGGGGCCGGGGGGCTAGCTTCTCCACAGTTATTTGTTGTCTCTGCTCTTCAACTTAAACTGAAATGTAGATTATGACATGAGTTTTGTAGCAGATTAATTTAGGTGGCTCATGTTAAAATAACTCTGATTTGTAATCCTAGGTGTGTATTTGCCTTTTTGGAAAACCTTAATATAAGATCCTGGCAAGCTAAAACCAAGCAGTTCTTGAGTGATGTAGCTCTGACAGTGTACCAGTGACCTGTAAGGCTGGATGCGAGTTTTCTGAGGGAGATCGAGGGTAACTTCCGTCACTCCTCTCTGGACAACTTTTAAACTACCTGATGCCCGGAGCGAGGGCTTCGCACTGTTTCTGCTGCGTTGACCCCGGCAGGACAGGACTCTCACCTCCTGGCACCCAAGTCATATTGTTTCACGGTTAAAATCCCCAGTAGGAGAAAAAAAGCCTCAATATATTTTGTAATCTTAAGAAGAGTATTTTTTGTTAATACTAAAAAGTTCAGACTTGGATATAATTAGGTCACACGTTCTCAGGGGTTCAAATTTCCTGCTACCATTCAAACTGTTTTTTCGACAGCAAACTTGATTTCATTTTCTTGTCAGAGAAAAATAGCTGAGTTGTACTGAGACTCGCGGTCTGAAGCTTGCTGTGGTCCCCGGGTGACTGAGTTAGGAAATCGAGCCTGAGTCAGGCGGGCGAGGGCGTGGACGCTCCTGCGCTTCTGTGCTGCAGTTGCGGCCCTGGGTCCCCGCTCCAGCTCTGCGGCGCTTTGCCTCCGTCAGTCAAGAGTCGCTCCCTGTGACCTCGCCTCGCAGCCCTGTGCCGGCCAGGAGAGAGCCAGCAGGTGGCGTGGGACGGGCTCCGCGCGTCCTCCCCGGCGCGGACAGAACCCGCTTCCCGCAGACCCGAGGGCGCTGCGGCCCGGGCGGCTTTCCCCGCAGTTCCGTTCACGTCGCGCACATAAGCATTGCACTTGGTACCAGGCTTTACCTCATTGCAAGGAAAAAACGCTCAACCGAGAGGAGGAATTAGAGTTTGGCCTTGCTGCTGTTTGACTTCCCGGATTTGAGAAAGATGATTATAATGCCTGCGATGTGTCGTGTACTTGCACAACTTAATAGGTCATTTTTGTCTGTGGCATTTTTACTGTTTGTGAAAGTGTAGCAATGACTTGTTAACTCCTAATTGTGTTTCTTAAAAATGTTTGTTGTATTTCTTTCCTTTCTCCTTTTACATTATGTGAAGTGATTGCGTTTAGAACAACCTCTAACACTCCTGTAATTATCCTTTACAATACTGGCATTCTACTTCCTCAGCAGGGCTTGCCCTCAGAGAGCCAGAGGCTTGGTTTGGTTCCGTGGGCTCCGCAGTAAGCAGAGTCATCCCCCCAGCAGTCCGGTGGCGGCTGGCGAACCCCGAGAATAAGCCCCTGCTGAGGCCCGGCTGATTTAAAGCTTGCTCGCTGGCTCTGCAGCAGCAGCGGGTGCGCTCCCGGGCAGCGAAGCCAGCAGACGGAGGCCCTCGTGTCTTTGTCTGACTGCGTCTGGAGCCCTGGCCGTGTCCTCCGCGGCCCGCGGGAGAGAACCGGGCCGTGCTTATTACCTGTGTGGTTATTCTAATTACATTGAAATAGGTATATTTTTCCAACCACTGATTACTTTCCAGGAATTTAATTATTTCCAAATGAATTTCTTTATTTTATATTGTACATGGAAAGTTTTAAAGATATGTTTAAGACCAAGAATATTAAAATGATTTTAAAGGTTGTTGGAGACACCAGTAGCAATATGTAGGGAATATGCGTTGAGACCGTTGTATTTTCTACCAGCAGTGCAAAGCATCTTTCGGAACTAACTTGTACATAGGTTCTAATCGTTACCTGTTCTGTTGTTTAGTCGTTTTTATTTGGACCCCAACTGCAGACCATTGCAGTGTTGCAGGTGTGCTCAGAATTCACTGCAGCAGCAGACTGTAGGCGAACAGGAAGCAAGTCCTGGCTTCTCTGCTGTAAATAGAGTGGAGGAAAATGACGAAAACCCAGTCTCACTAGCACATCACCGCGGCGGGGGGCGGCCGTCACGGCGGGCCGCGCCGGTGGGGCAGGGGCCCCTGCACTTGTCTGTTCTGGTAACAACTGTAGCCGAGTAAATCTCCAATAAAGTTATGATCTGTTCACTCCGGTGTCGTCCCCTCTGTTTGCTTCAAGCTGGGGCTCGGCTCAGAGGGGCCACGGGGCAGCCCTGAGTCCCTGGCAGGTCGTGGGAAAACGCGGAGCTGCGAGGAGAACGTCTGGTTCTGCCTCGTGTCCTCCTGTGCGCGGAGTTGGAAGGTAACAGCTGTCGTGTTCAAGACGGAAAGAATCCTGGTGCCTTTTCCTGGAATTCCGTCTCTGGGACTGCGGGGCTCCAGGAGCAGGATCCTCTGTGACCGCTGACTCCTTCCTCGCGTAAACGTGATTGCTATGAAGTGAGCGGCCCCCGGGTTCAGCTTCCAGTGCTGCCGAGAGAGTCCTGTGCTCTCCCGCTCGGCCCAGCACGGCACAGCAGGAGTCGCTGGCCTGCAGGAGAGGAGAGGGCGGTAAGCAGGGCCTTCTTAGGAGAAGTTTTGCTTTTCCTTTGAAAGTTCAAATTAATCCCTCCCCTCCCCTCCCTCTGCGCGGTACAGGAAAGGAGGGAGAGCCTAGGGATTTAAGCCCTGAGGAATGTGGGTGCCTGCTGCCCACTGGCGTGCGTTGATGTTGCCGCCCAGGGTGTGCGCAGCGGCTGGGGCCACGCTCGGGGCCAGAGCTCCTTCCCGCACCGTGCCAGCTGAGCAGCCGCTCCCAGGCTCACGGTAAGGAATGCAGCCAGGCAGGCGTGCGGCTGCAGGTCAGGATGTGTGTGGGGAGAACCCGGTGGCGGTGCGGGGATCTGTGCGTGCAGGTCCAGTTGTGGGTGGAAGCCCCGCCTTGCAGACACCGGTGGGCCGGAGGATGCTCGCATGCGCTGACCTGTCTGCGAGGCGGGGCGAGAATGGCCGTGTCTCCTGGGGGCAAAATCCACAAGGAAAGGTGCCAGTTTAACAGTGTTAATGACCCTGCAAACATCCATGGTGTGGTACGGCCTTCCAGCCCCAGGAGTTTTTCCTAATCCCAACCCAAAATTATACCCTCCGAACAGTAAAGCCCCCCCGCCCCCGTCCGAGTCCCTGTTGGCCGCGTTGTCCTTTCTGGCCAGATGGAGTGAACCCTTGTTAGGGACCTCTTGCAGGTGGCACCACGTAGTGTGTGCCTCTCTGCGTCTGGCTTGTTTTACTAGGGGCCTTCAGGGCCCCTGCCGGTCGCTGTGTGCGGCCGAGCTGGCTTGAGGCTGGCTGATGGTGCGGCCACCACAGCTCGCTGATCTGCTCATCCCCGCCCGTACGTGTGGGTGGCGCGGGCCTCCGGCTCTGTCGCGGCACCGCTGTCCAGTCTGCATGCCCAGAACTGGACGTGCTGGGTTGTGTGGCGACCGCGTCACTTTCCACAGTGACTGCACGGGTCTCAGGTTTCCTGCGGCAGTGCACGGGGCTTCCGGTGTCTTCACAACACCGCCCCGCCGGCGCGGTTGGTAGTAGCCATCCCCATGGTCCTTCCCTTGTGTCCTGTGTCCTGTCGGCCGGTCGGCCTCCTCGACATAACCCAGTCCCCTTTCCACTGCCACCACCCTGAGGGACACCACGTGGCCTCTGCTGCCCGTCACCACCCCGGCTGGCCCTGCTGCTGCTTCTCTGACCCTCAGAGGGGACAGCCCTCCCTGTCACCACCCTACCTTGCTGTCCCTCGGACCGTGCCGGTTGTTGAAATCCGTACATAACTTCTTCAGAACCTGTGTTTCCTGTGAACTTCTGAAGGCGTCCCCACACGCATGGATTTAATTTTTTCTACATCGAAATAAGCTTGTAATTGAGTTTTGCAGGAGCTGTTTGAAGCTCCCTGGTTTGGGCAGCGTTTGTTTAGCCAGCTGTCGCTTTGTTGGGACATTCACGTTGTGTTCCCGGGTGGGGGTGGGGGCACCCTGGTTTGCTAGGCTGCTCCCCGTCAGAGCTCCGTTTTGCTCGCAGCTGACCTGTTGCAGAGGTGAGGGCCCTGGCCTCACGCACTTCCTCGTGTGCGTGGAAGGGCGCTCACGCGGGCTGCCCCTCCTGAAGCCCCCAGTGCTCCAGAAGCCAGCTTTTCTGGAACTTACTTGACAGCAAAACCTGGCGTGTTCGTAACACCTGTGCCATTTAATGTCTGCTGCGGGCCCTGCTGGCTGCTGCGGGCGTCCCACGGTCTGCAGGATGTGTACAGAGTTGCTACACACACACACACGGGCCTCAGGAATTTCAGGTAAGGACGGTGGACCTGTCATAAGCTTTTCTGGATACGTAAGGGTGCCCGGCGCGCACCAAGCGTGATACCCTTTATGCCGCCTACTGGTTGATGGGTTATGGAGGGGTGTGCACCAGAGGTTCAGACTGAGCCACCTGAGCGAGCAGCCAGGTGGTGCTGGGGTCAGGTGGGGGCGTGCGTAGAACGTGGGGTGCAGTGCTGGACGCGGCCAAGCCCGTGGCTGCTGCAGCCCTCCTCTTGGAGCTGGGCGGAATGAGGCCAGGAGGAGCCGAGGGAGTGCTTGGCCGTGACCCCGCGTCCACCTGCCGTGGAAGCAGTTCGCAGCATCCTACGGGCACACTCTGGGGCCTGGGCGAGTGAAGGTGGGGTTAGAACACGCGTGCAGAGGCGTGGAGAAATGTAAATAAAGTTTGTATTCTGTGCTATGCAGAAAATGCAGCTGTAGCCCACACGGGCAGGCCTGGCAGGACGCATTTCTTTGTTTTCTGTGAAACCCTAGCAACTGCGTCTCAGAGGAGGAAGCGATTCTGCAGTCCCCCCTCCGCTGGAGGAGAGGCGGAGCTGGGAGCCGCGCTCTGTTACCCAGCGGGAGAGGGACACAGCCCGGCCAGCCCGGTGAGGTGCGCCCCTGGGAGCCCTCCCGACCAGATCCAGCAGAACGCAGGCAACGCCTGCAGCCTCGCACTGCTCCTCCTGTCCTTGGAGGCCGTCAGTTTTGCAGAGAAAAGGAACCCTCCTTGGCGGCAGGTGGTTACCGTAGGGGTCGCGGGGACAGGACTGCCAGGAGTCATCGTGGTCTTCCACTCAGTATGCCGGGGCTTCAGGTCAGCACGTGTGTGTGTGCACACATGCACACGCACACACACGCATGCACACACACACACGCACGTACACGCATGCACACATGCACACGCACGCACATGTGCATGATGGAGGGGTGTCCCCTGGTCTTGGTAACTGCCTCCCAGTGCCCCTTGGTTGGGGGCTGGGGGGCAGTAGTTGGTGTGTGTGGATCTGAGAAACTAATGAGGAAGTTACCAGGCAGTGAAGCAGTGCTGTTTGTAGCTTGAAAAAATTTTTTCTAGCGTTTTGAGGAACTAATTGGAGACACAGAAAACTCCCATGCATTGCCTTATTCCCCCAAAGCCCTCAGCGAGCAGAGCTGGGCCAGGAGAAGCCGGAAGCTGGACCTCACTCCTGCTCTTCCCACGTGGGTGGTGGGGACCGAACGTCTCAGGCCAGCACCTGCTGCAGGTACACAGAGCTGGGGGCGGAGTCCCGACTTGACCCCAGGCCCCCTGTGTGGGACGTGGCACCCTGCCAGATGGATGCCCGCCCCTGTGAGCTGTCAGTAGCACGGAGCAGTGCCTGTTTCCCTGGAGGCTTTTGAACGATGAGGCTCTGCACCTCACCCCCGCCCGCCCCGTGCCCGAGACGTGAGATCCCAGGGGTCTGGATGGACGCCATGCAGCAACGCGGGGGTCCTGGTCAGCGCCCTCTAGGCAGCCACGGGTTAAACGATCACAGAGGATTCCTGGCAGGACTTCCAGGGTCTTTGCCTGGCTGGAGCACGTGCAGATGGGCGGGCACGCGGGCCTTCCAGCAGCTCTTGGACGTGGGGTCCTGAGCTCCGCACCTCGGGCCGGGCCCTGGCAAGGATGTCTCGGCAGCTGGTGAGCCCAGTCTCCGTGGTGCTGGGAGCCCCTTCTGACCATGTTTGCCAACCAGTGGACTCCCCACGGTGGGTGGAAGGGAAGGGTCACTGGCGCCCGGCGGGTGGGGCTGAGTCTAGGCCCTGTGGTCCTGGCTAAACTTGGCTCACAACCAGCAGTCCTGGAGTGGGCCCCACCCCCCAAAGTGGGTGTTCCATGCTCAGCCTGGGACTGCGCCCTGCACGATTTGTGAGGTTCGCTTCCCTCACAGGGTGGGCACTGCCCCCATCCCTACCCCAGCAGTCCCAGCTCTGCAGCCTCCAGGGCGGCCTCACCGTGTGCACCGACCCGGCCTGATTCGCCACTCACCCAGCGCCCCCATCCCACCACAGCCCCCGGGCGTCCCCTCACTGGGCCACCAGGCCGACCGCACTCCAGGCCTGAGTAGGTCCTCAGGGACCCCTTCCCAATACCTCCTGCCCTCTCGTCCCCTGAGCCCAAGCCGGGCCTGACCCCCGTCCCCCGTGCCACGTGCCTGCAGTCGGTATGAGCCTTGAGCGGCTCTTCCACCTGCGGCTGCGGCGCAGGCCCCTGGCACACAAGCGACGGGTGACCAGGGCCGCGGGGGTGGCGGGGGTGGCAGCGCCTGTAACGCGTTTTCAGAAGTGTTTGAGGGGCAGGCGTGTGGGGCAGGGGCTGTGCCGCTTAGGACGCCCGCATCCTGTCTCCAAGTGCGGGATCCAAGTCCCGGCTACCTGGGAGCTGCTTGAGACCCTGCCAGCCCGGTGAGAGACCCAGATGGGGTCCCAGCTCGTAGGAGGCTGGCATTCGGGGAGGGAACCAGCAGATGGAAGATCTCTCGCTATTTTTTTTGACCCTTTCCTTTAAAATAAAAAAAAAAAAAAAAAAAAAACATTGGGGGAAAAAAAATCCGGCCCTCCCCGGGGGTTTGGTTTTCGGGGGGGGGGGGGGGGGGGGGGTGTGGTGGAGGAGGAAGGGGAGGGCCCAACGGAGCAGAGAGGGCAGCGTCCAGTGCGCCTGGAGGTGGGGTTTGAACAAACACCGGACCTCGTAGCCGACCCTTCCCCTCTGTGCTCTGCCTACTAGGCAACTCGGCTCATCCTCCACTTAAATGTCCAGTAAGCACCTGCTGTGGGCAGGCGCTCCCCTGG